GGAAATTTTGCCCGGACAGCGGCACTACGGCCTACTCTTATATCGAATTCCAACTGCCAAGGGATCTTTTACGTGCACGCCAATGTGTACATGGGACCTCGGTTTTTCGTCCCATCCGAACGACTAGACAGCTTACCTTGTCAGCCCCTCCGTCCTGCATCACTGACAAGGGAGAACCACGCCGGAAAATCTGGATGAACTTTCTCGGCCAATGCAGGGATCGAACACCCGACCTCCAGACTGGCGAGCTAGCGTCTTACCCACTTAGCCACGTGATCCCCCAGAAAATAATGTTTGAATGGACATGCGAGTCAATGGAGTTTAAATTTAACTATGAAGGCATTATGGCCTACCTATATTTCGAATTTAAACTGTCAAAGACAAAGATTCTTTACGTGCACGCCAATGTGTACACGGGACCTCAGTTTTTTTTTGTCCCATCCTAACAATTACATATTGTCTCTTGCCAGGCCCTCTGCACCACTGACAAGGGGGGACCACACAGGAACCATTCCGACAAATCATGATAAACTTCGCGGCCATCACCTGGATTGAACACGGAACCCCTGGGTTCGCGAGCCATCGTCTTAAGCGGTGGACACACTGGCCGAATGATTCGGCCGAATCAATCGGCGTCGAAATTCGCCTAGGTGTCCACTGTCATTTGGCCGAATGATTCGCTAGAATCAAACAGGTTTGATATATTCGGCCATTCGGCCGAATTATATTCGCCTGGTGTGTCCGCTTCGCCGAAGCATTCGGCCGAATATAGAATTCATTAGCCAATCACCACTCATATCGAGAAGTCACGTGATAGATTGAAGACATAGACGCCGCCATGTTTAATCATGTGACGTGAAAGGTGATGCAATCGACAGGTTGAATCGGGCGAAGCATTCGGCTAGTGTGTCCACCCATTCGGCCGAATAAAATTTGGCGCCGATTGGTTCGGCTAATGTGTCCACTGCTTTACTCACTAACCCACCATGGCCCCTGCCCATATGTAAAGGCTGATATAATCATATAATCCTTGAGTGGCATTTAGTGATTGAGCACATTAAAAAACACAACACAATTTATATGGAATACAATCTACATTAAAAAAACACAATTGTATTCCATATAAATTGTGTTGTGTTTTGATATAATCATGTTGGTGATTCATTGTTGGATATAATAATGTGTCCATTTATATTGCACCAATTCCACTAAGCGAATTCACAGCGCATGCAAAATAAACCCGACATACCAAAGTTCTTTGGATCTAAGTTTTTGTTAATTTCTAAATTGATTTTAGAAAGAGGAGGTTGAACTGTGATTGAAAACACTCTCTCTCCAAAAGTTATGCATTGGCCAACAGAACATTAACAAGCTATTTCTTCTTTATATCCTGCACACGTGACCATACAAAAAACCTTGCTGTATCATGCAGTGTATGATAGAATCAAAATAAGTGAAGAGTTGTGGTGGCTAAATGTTACGCCATTGGCTGTTGACAGGCATATGGATTAGTTTATGACTTTCTGGTACCACAAGACATTTGGAGTTGTTCCCCTTTAACTTTAATCTTTAGGATCGTCTGTTGTCTTTCAATTAAAAACTCAAATAATCAAAACTCTAAAATTTAATGAGCGAATAAAAACCACAGCCGTGTTATGTGTTGTTTATGTTCTATTCAGTAATAGTTGTGTGACTTTTTATATTCTTACAAAGTCTCATCAATTAGTATTTGTAACCTATTTCATGCACAGGTATTTCATGGCCACACAAAAAAATATGAATTAAATCAATTCCGATTATAAATGTAAATCAGATTTGTAATCTTTCAAGATTTAGAGTCAGTTATATAGATGGAAATTGCAGAACCTTTTTTTGTATTAGGTTTTACAGCACAATCTTTATGCCTGACTCATTATGGTAGTATGGATAAGATTTAATCTAATTTATAAATCTAATTGAACAAACAAAAAAATAAAACATTCAAAATCCAATATCACTTCTTTCTGCCATCCTCTTGTATTAGATACTCAAATAATTCTCTAATTGTTTTGAATTCGGATCTTCCCGTGGATTCTTTTTTCGGTATTTTGGGTAAAACGGATTGTACTTTTGTTGTGAATTCTTGCATATTGTGAGAACCACTTAATTTCCACACCATTAACGAGAACAATCCTACTCCGCCAACAGAATACAAAGTGGCTCTACCAAGAGCCCTCAATGCCAAATGTCCACCCGATTCCGATATTCCTGGCTGATACGTGGCCATGCCTTTTGAAAACATGGAAGGGTCTTGCTTTTTGGACATTCCAATTGTAAGTCCGAATCCACCTAACAGTGACAATCCAGTCAATGAGGCAAGGAATATTCCACCTTTTATTTTTTGAAGGCGCTTATCACTTGGCTCTTGGCTCAATGGAATGTCTGTGTCCCCTATTTCTGACATAGCTACAGAGAAAATCACATTTCAACAACGTTTGAGTTTTTTTTCACCTTGTGAACACAGCCATGTTTTGTTAGACATGAACATCCAGACCAGTATTAGATTTCCATTCGAGCTTCGTCGTAAACCTTAGCTTCAAAGTGGATTTATTATCAATCATAATTTAATCCTTTAATAATTAATATCGGCATAATGGCACATAAAAATAGTAATTTAGAATTATAAATATGTTTTGAAATTAAAACATTATCGCGCAAATGGATTTCTGATAACGGTTGCGTTATATATCTTTGTTTCATTGAATGTTTCCGAATGGAGGCTGTCCGAATGGTTGCCAGTCAAGTCGCCCATAAGCAAAGTCGTCCAAGGTTAAGTCTTGCTTTTCTTTTTCTTTAAGGCAAAACTCTCACCAAATTCATTGAAATAAAAGGAATTCTTAGAATTCAATATACTAAGAACATTTCATTTAAGGAAGCAAAATTACTTTTGATGTTATCCAGGGATACACGAGTGGGTAGTTCCTTTAGGAACTGTCTCTGAGCGGACGATGTACGTTGTTAGTTCCTATCGGGGCCCAATATAGCTGCAATATGAAAATACCGCTCTTTCCCACCTCTGTTCTAAGATAATTTTGGAATCCTTACCTACTATTTTTCACCTTGATTCTACTATATTCGCCAAAGGAATCATTTCTTGCCACAGCTGACACACATTTATAATGAATCAACAATATTTTCAAGTAGAATTCTGCGATTAAAAACATATACACAAAATAGTTTGAACTGATCAGCCATTACGAGACTCGAACATATTATATTATACCCCAGAGCTGTGTTTCCATGACACTTCTAGAAGATGTACTGATACCTTATTTAGTGTTCAATTACACTCTGCAGAAGATAAAGTGTACCCTATATAATACCCACTTATACTTTCAGAGGACACATTAAACTGTAAACAGTGTTTAATTTCATCCCAGAAGATATAATTGTACCCTAGATAGTGTTTGATTCCACTTTCAAAAGATATAGCTTATAGTTTTTAACGGCACTTTCAGAAGATATAGCTACATCCTATATAGTGTTTAGTTGTACTTTCAGGAGATACATAGTTATACCCTATATATGGTGTTTTATTACACTTTAAGAAGAGAGCTATATTCTAAATAGTGTTGAATTACACTTTCAGAAGATATACTTATATCCTAATAGTGTTGAATTACAACACTTTCAGAAGATATATATATACCTTAGATAGCGTTTGTTTACACATTGAGAGGATATAAGTACACCCTAAATAGTGTTTAATTATATTTTTAGAAGAACATTTAAGAGGACATTTACACTTTTAGATGATTTCCCATATCCTCAAATAAGTGTAATTAATTGCACTCATTGAAGTGTTTATATACGATATTGCAAGTGGCAGCTCAGTTGCCACTCGTACAGGTGTAAAGTAACACTATTGTTTTAACTGTGTGCGCAAACCGCATTTTATTTCATCGCTAAATTCTACTTGAAAATAGTGTTGAATTATTAGAAATTTTTGTCAAATATAGTGCGAATAATTCCTTCTGGAGGAAAATAAGAATCGCGGTGAAAAATATATGGTTAGGGTTCTAAAACAGCCTGAGAACAGAGGTGTGGTAGCGCGGTATTTTACCGTATTTTCATATTGCAGCTATACAGGACCGGATAGGAACTGTCAGTGGACATCGTCCGCTGTTCCTAAAGAAACTAACGAGTGGGGAGCGTTGAAAGGCAAGACACAAACTCTTTTTTATGAGTTTTTATTAGAAACAACACTTGGTAAATAACTTAACGGACAAGGACTCTGTAACATCTCACATGCTGCTAAAAAGAAGAAAATATCTAACAATCGCTCAACCACCGACCCAGTCGAACGAGAAGAAAGCAAATTTAATCCCCCCTTGAAAAGGAAATTTCCGAATCGGACAACAATTTTATAAGTGTGTTTTAAGGTGACTTTTTATATACAAGGACTTTTTATTTTATTTTTTTTTACCAATTTTCAACCCTTTAAGTATAAATAATTTAATTAAATCAACCTGTCCATAACATATGTATTTGCAATAAGGCCATGAGTCGGGAGACATATCGCCAGATCGTTCCTGGAGAGTTGGAGGGTGTGATTGATGATAGAGCAGAACTCTGCACAATTTTTTTTTTTACTAATTAAGAATACCTTCTGTGTCCCAAAAGTAAACTATGTCGCGTGGACGACTTAACCAACGTATTTTTACATCCCGATACATGGCGATAGTCCGCCAATTGACGTAAATTAAATAATACTCATATCAAACACCATGAAAACCAGTGGGAAATCATGATAAAGCACACAAAAAAACATATACAAATTAAGAATACTTTCTGTGTCCCGAAAGTAAACTATGTCGTGTGGACGACTTAACCAACGTATTTCTACAGCCGGTGTGGACGACTTGACTAGATTTTGGACGACTTTGTTTGTAAACGACGTGACTAGCATTCGCCTGGATAACCCTACATTAAAAGGGGAAGGCAACTCTCAGAAAAAAAAATAAAGGGAAAGTAGAGAAAATGTAAACAGATTTAGGCAAGATGACGACTAAAAATTATTTGAATTCTTTTCTGTCTCCCACTGTAAAAGAAATACTATTGACGGATCATTTTTTTGAAGACAAAAACGATGAAACCAAAGAGATCTTGACGAAAGGTGATACACTCAACTGGTGTTATATAGAAAAAAAGCTGAATGATTTAGAAATCGACGGATTGAGTTGTGGTACGTGTTTGTACATGAATTTCAATGATGTATCTGATATGTTTTACTTTACGCATCCTTGCAGTCAGACAGTATTTATTTCTTCATCGAATTCAGAATTTCCAAAAGGCTGTTGTATCAGAATGTATGAAATACTCAAATGAATGTCGAGCTTGAAAAGAGATTATATGACTTGTAAGTCAAAAGAGATTTGAGAGTAGGAATGATGCATGCGTGCACACTAACGTCCCATCCAAACGACTAAGTGCTCTTCCTTACTGGGTTCTCTTGTCCTACACCATTAACACTGGAAAATGACATGGAACTTTCTTGGCCATCACCAAGATTGAACCCAGTACCCCCTTATTTGTGAGATAGAGCCATACTCACTGATGCATAGCGAATAATGTTCAGTTATTATTTTGAGGTTTTGTTTTTCAGGTAGTACAGAATGGTACTGTAAAGCTACAGTATATCTAGCACCAGTATTTATATATTGTGAAAAGTTTTTACAACAAACAGTGGATAATTATCACAAGATATATTTGGATTTAATAGAATGGACAGCACATACACAAGTAAAACATTCATTGACTTGTATCCACAACATGTGTCCGAAAACTTGTAGAGATTTAAAATACCTGCCCAAAATTTTCTGGAGGTTTAGATACAAAAAAAGAGCATGCTACTGTTATGTCAATGCTAATAAGCGAGTAAATGGGTATGTCTGTTAAAAGAAATACCAAGTTGGGATCACAACCCTTTAAAGTGGATCACAACCCTTTAAATACTTCACTGAGTCAGTTAATGAATGCTGCTTAAAGAATAATTATTTACCGTAGATATGGTGTTAGATGACATATTAGCCATGTTTAAATGCAGAAATACAAACCACTGTTAAATCTTAGAAAGGAAATAAGACCCATTGGAATTTAAATGGATGTATAATTTTGATTTGTTTCAGGTATTAACACAGTGTTTATCATTAATTGAAAGTGATGAGGATGGAGATGATCTGTTATCTATGCTGCTGCTTACATCTGTAATTGAGAGAAGCTTAGGTGATGTATGTAATATTTGCATTTAAGATTAAAAATTGAATGCTTGTATAAGTCCTTGCCTTTGATACAGGGAAAGAGAGAGACATGGGTCCACTTGACACAAATAGTGTCATTTCGGGACTAACATCAATCTAATTAGAATACAGATCTATATTTCATTTTTTTTTTTTTTTATACTTTCGATGGCCTACACTACATGAAGATCTGACCAGTTGTAGTAAAAGGTCACGTCAGAGGTCGTATGAACGGCATTTGTCCCTATGACATCAGACATTGATTGATCAATCAGCGTTGACATATCTAGTGGTTTACCCACAGTTCCGTGCATCGCATGCCAAGAAGTCGCCAAAACAGATGGTTTCAATGGCTAATCCCTCACGCCATCCAGAACTCCGATCCAAGTGTAGTACAGACAAAACAAAATTTTAAACTATAAAAAAATTAAACGACAGAGGATCTGTGTTTTAATGAGATTGGGACTAACATATGATACAATTTTATTCTAACAATTCACTTGTGCATGGGGGTCTTTAGCAGTGGGATCAAAACCATGTCACTTGATTAAATAATGACAGGTCTTATGATCTAAAGCACATGTGTTAGATTGCTTGCCATTACAACCATGAGAGTAAATAAATACCATGATTTAGCCATACTTTAATTATCTGATTTCAGGTATTTTTATTAATGGGTGAACAATGTCCATCAATGTTAAAGGATTTATTAATAACAAAAGAGCTACACGATATACTAGGACCAACTATTGTAAGTGAGACTTAATTTTATATAGCCCTTAAAACAGTTTATTCACATATCAGTATTTTCTTAAAAGTATAAAATTCACAAAAGGGCGTGATGTGAAATCTGTGGGCTTTCTTTGGTGAACATCACAAGTCAATTAATGGTGTTAAGAGACTTTGTTTCTAAATTTTTATATAATAAAATTTGAAATGTGTTCACTCAATAACCAATATATCATAATGAAACCAATTAAACAAATACCACTCTTATATGATTAAGAGATTTCCAGGTGAAGGTGAATGTTCTGATGAGAAAAAGACCCCAATTTCATCAATGCCATCATTTCTTATAAATTATGGCACAAACCAAGCACGCAGAAAGCCTGACTGTTGGAACTGAAAATGCAACTCACACCAGAAGAGTAGGTCATTTTGGAATATATGATATGCAGGTGCGGATGCGAATTCTTCAAGCCTTTGAAACTATTCTGCAACATTAACACGATTTATAAATGACGATATTATTGTTATTATTCTTACCATTAACACATGGACTAATTTGCATATATTATGGTAATACATGTGCAATATGTATTGTAAATATTTATTATAATATAATGTACAGCAAATAAATATATATAAACCTCTAAACTGGAGGCTAGAGATAATTGGGTATAATCGGATTAAACTACCTGTAAGCTCAGAAACTAATCCAATTGTTAGTTTTAATCCCTTAACTCTCAATTTAACAAGAAGAAGAAAGACATCTTTCAATTTAGACCGTTAGGGTCACTAAAAAAGACTTTATGAGAAGTAATGTTTTTAGGTCCTCTCTCTCTCTCTCTCTCTCTCTCTCTATCTCTCTTTAAAATTAATCTATTGCTATTTATTTGACATTTATTTATACATTTGTATAGAAGTTGTGGATTGATTTTTATATTTCAGATAAATGTATTGAAGATTTTGATTGGATCTCCAAAATCTCTGAATATAAGAAATATTGCATGGCATGGTTTTCTTTCTCCTGGAGAATTGCCTAAAAGGTAACCAGAAATATATGTACTTGAATTAATATTTTTGTAGTGTCCTATCACATAGACAGTAGACTCTTGTTAGTGACAATAGACTCTTGACTCAATAGAGTTACCCCCTTTTCATGGTGGTCATAATATACTCTTCAAAAAAAAGTAGGGGATATTCAGAAACAGTACAAAACTGTGGAAATGCACTGCTATTTTTATCAGAGGTAACCAGTGTATGTTAATAACAGGCCAATTGCCTACACATGAACATAAACAGTTCATATGGGTGGCTTATCTGATGGCCCCATTTCACTCGCAAACAGATACACTGTCAAAAATTGAAAATGAACGTTTTCGATTTTTGTCTTAATAATGAGTAATTGCTCCACCAATCCTCAGACATTCAGCAATTCGTTGTGGCATGCTCCTAATCAACCGTCCAATCACGATTTGGGGCAATGTGACCCACTCCTCTTGCAGTGCCACAGTCAGTTCTTGCAGTGTTGTCGGTTGACATTTACGTAAACAAACACGTCTCCCGATCATTTCCCAGACATGCTCTATAGGGGAAAGGTCAGGACTCATGGCTGGCCACATCATAGGGACAATATGTTGACGCTGGAGGTAGTCATTCACGACACGAGCGCGGTGGGCATGGGCATTATCATCTTGAAAGGTGAAACGTTGACATGCACGTTGAGCAAAGGGCAGAACTATCGGTGCCAGGATGTGGTCACGGTAGTACACACCAGTGATCCTTTCCTGGGCTTGTGTAGTGGCTCTAGGACGACCTGAACAAGGTCTATCATCAACATTGTGTGTTTGTTGGTATCGGTTCCACAATCTGCTGATCACAGACTGTGACACATTAAGCATGTTGGCTACTGCTCGCTGTGTAGAACCCATTTGAAGCATGCCAATAGCACGTAGACGTTCATCATGCTAAAGACGTCTCATTGCAAATTAAATGTAACACACTAAAGCAAAGATACGCTAAACAGTAAATCTTATGCAAGAACCGATAGGAAAGCAAACATGGATAGGATAAACCAGCACACGGCAGTTTTCATCGATCCTTCCTTAAAGTGTCAAATTTAACGTTGAACCCCTCCCATGTGTATGGCGGTATTGCGTGTCGCAAGTGCAGCTCAGTGGTTTTGTTGGGGCGATAAGTTCTTGATATGTGAACATGCTCTCAAAGCATGTCAAGTGTCCATGACTATTTATCGTATCACAACCTGCAAAGGTATTTGCATTTCAATATCCCCTACTTTTTGAAGAGTATATATTACAGTTATCATAATTTAGTGTTGTATAAATCCAAATACACAACAATTTTTGTTGTTTATTTCTTGCAATGTCTGTGTAGTTGGTCTTGTCTGCAGATATGATATGTCTTATCGGTTTTGATTTACGTGTTGTGCGCTTCTCATGCTCTTACTATTAAGAGATGCATAGAAGTTTTTAAAACCCGACATTTAATGTTGATGTATATTGTCATCACCAACGCTCGCTTCCTCATTCACATGAGGTTTGTCATCAGGTCCTGAAGAACAAGCCTATCTCAATCTAGAATTAGTAACACTGTTTGACTTTCCGAGAAATGTAGCTCATCAAAGGGTGTTCCCAAAGAATTAGAAATGAATACAGATTCTTGGAATGGATCTTCAATACTTTTATTCAGGAGCAAATAAACGTGACAATTACACAACTTGTAATGTCCTATAAATCGAACATCAAACTAGTATATTGGTTCCCTAAGCTGACAATGGTAGTGATATCGCCCTCTCCAACTATTGATTTATCTAACATACTTTTTATACGCCACGTGGAAATGTGGTCGTATATTGCCATCGCCCCCGTCCGTCTGTACATATGTCAACCACAATTTCTTGTGAACACTCTACAAACTACATTTATCATCTAATTGTTTTGAAATTGAAATATGTTGTGAGATGAAGAATCCTATTTAATTTTAATAATTTCCAATAATTTCTGCTGGAGTTATGGTCCTTGTTTCACTTTGATGAACCATGTGAATGCACTAACGACAAATGTTATCATCCGATCTTTATGGTATTTATATGCATCATTTAAATTAGTGAAATGAAGAAGCCTTTTGAATTTCCATTAATTATGTCTAGAGTAATGGCCCTTGTTTCATGTTGTTGAATCTTGTGAACGCTTTAGCAACACAAATTATTATCCGATCTGTATGGAATTTATACGCATCATTTAGAATAGTGAAGCGAAGAAGCCTATTGAATTTCAGCAATTTCCATTAATTTCTTTGTTGAACCTTATGAATGCTCGAATGATGAAAATTATTCTCTGATCTGTATGATAATTATATGGACCATTTAAATCTGTATGAAATTTATATGCATCATTTAGATTAGTGAAACAAAGAAGCCTATTGAATTTCAGCAATTTCCATTAATTTCTTTGTTGAATGCTCGAATGATGAAAATTATTCTCTGATCTGTATGAAATTTATATGGACAATTTAAATTAGTAAAACAAAGAATCATATTGAATTTCAGCAATTTCTGTTGATTTTTTCTCGAGTTATGGTCCTTGTTTCACTTATCAGCCGATCTCTATGAAATTTATACAGATCATTTAAATTAGTGACACGAAGACTCCTATTGAAATCCAGCATTTCCCTTAATTACGTCTAGACTAATTTCAAATAATTACTTGTAGAGTTATGGCCCTTGTTGAACCTTGTGAATGCTTGAATGATGATAGTTATCATCCGATCTGTATGAAATTTATATCCATTATTTAAATTAGTGAAACGAAGAATCCTATTGAATTTCGTGAATTTCTGTCAATTACTTCTAAATTTATGGCCCTTGTTTTACTTTGTTGAACTTGTGAACATTAGAATGACCAAAGTTATAATCCGATCTGTATGAAATTTATATGCATTATTTGAATTAGTAAAACGAAAAAGCCAGCTGAATTTCAACAATTTCTCTAAATGATTTCCTGAGTTAAGGCAACCTATCTTTTCTTTTTATATCCAAATGACTTACTAAGAAAGTGTTGACATGAACATCAATCTATTTAAAATACAGATCTATATTTCATTTTGTTTTTTATACTTTCAATGGCCTACACTACATGTAGTAAAGACAAATAAAACGAAATTTTGAACTATAAAAATGATACGAAATAGGATCTGTGTTTTAATCAGATTGCATGAACATATGATTATTGAAAGATTTTATTCAATAGAAAACAATTAACACATCAATTACTGACAGATTAATTGATTACTATGTGTCTCTAATGGCTAATTAACCATTACAATGGAATATTTCAGTATCATGGATATTTTACTGACTGTTAGTTGAATATAGAAATATAGATTTAAGAATAAAATTAGAATTTAAAAAGAATAATATATAGTCACTGTAGACTCTAACAGTATTTTTAACATCTTAATGGAATTTAAAGCGTGTAATCATTGTCTAAATTGTTCTGTAAATAAATGATTATGTAATGGGTTTTCTTAATCTGTATTTTTAATTTATTTTTTACAGATTTATATATTTTCTGTTACTTTTGGTGCCTAGTATTGGAGAGAGACTAAAAGAAAAAAACATCACACCATCCTCCATACCACACAGAGATCTGGTAACATTCTCTACAGAACAACATATTCCTTTAACAGGTAGAACAATAACAAAATAGAAGGACTTTATATATACAAAATGAATAAATTCACATAAAAGATATAAGTGAGAAAACAGATATAATTTAGTACATGGTTTCAGGTGAATACCATTTTGCTGGTGAAAGAAAAACCATCTTGAATGACTCAATTAGGCAAACAGAGTGAGATTTGTAATAACAATTAAATACATCCAGGACAATAAGTCAAATTTTGAAAATTATAGACTTTGAAAAAGATATATATTATAGAGATAGATTCTAGTAGCTGTTGTAAATTAATTAAAACTTTGTCTGGGTTTGTAAATGCAGTTACGGGTATACATATACCACATATAAACAGTAAAGTTACGGAGGTTTGACCAACTTATGATTTGTTGTAAGTCACTTGATGGATTATCGATCCTGTTTGCCTTTATGATATACATGCATGTATTTTCTCAATACATGTAGATCAACGTGTCACAGATTATAATTTTACATTATTTATTTTTTAGGACAACCTTTTGAAATTGAGGCAAATTTAGAAAAACTTTTACAGAAAAGTGTATTTATTCAGAAACAAATGGTGCCATATTGGAAATGTGCATTTTCGTATTACAATAAACAAAAGTAAGTTTGGATAATACATGATATTATAATATACTTACCAAATTTAAAGTGGCATTTATGGAGGTAGGAGATGACATATTTCCTGTTTAGAATTATCATACAGTTTCTTCATATAGATGACTACTTCTAATAAGATAGATGAACACTACTATTGAAATCACATATAATCACATGTTCTCATGCGGGGGGGGGGGGCGAGATTGAATGACCGAATGGTTAGCATGAGCGCGCTGTATCATAAGGTCTGTCATTGAGTCATCTAGCATGGTTTTGATTCCACAGTTGTACGTGACAAGGAATAGCTTGCCTGTCCAGCCTCGTGGGTTTTCTCCGGGTGCTCCGGTTTCCTCCCACTGCTAAAGACTCCTACACACAAGTGAATTTTGGGAATAAAATTGAACTATATTTTAGTCCCAAAATGACCTAGTTTCTCTCTCTCTCTCTCTCTCTCTCTCTCTTTGTCGCTGGTTGACATGGTACCTGGTTTGACAATGTACTTTACTTTTTTTGTAGCAAAATATCATTTGTAAATTAAACACCATGGAAAATATATTATGCAGTTTATTGTTTCATATTTCAATTACAAACCGACTGAGTTATATTTCATACTTTAGATATGGATATTGTGTTGTTTTATTATGGCCATTGATAGAACATTCATTGCGATGTTTATTTGCTGAAGTAAATGGTTGTCCTCACAGAGTTTTAACTGCAGAGGTATGATTATGTTAACATTTATATAAAGTAATATTATTGACACTCTTCTTGTGGATCTTAAAGTCACCCAGCATCTGAAATACAGGTCTAAATTACTCAATAATTTGATGCACAGCCAAACCTGCAATCTTGTGAAGGTGAGACAGATCTAGCTTTTTTTACCACCCTCTCCCTCTCTGGAAATGAGGGAAATAAAATGTAATCAATAATTTTAAAGCATACAGATAAATGAATCAAAATTGCCATACACAGATTATTGGAATAACCAATTACCTTATATTAAACATAATATTTGTTTCAGTCTACAGTATTATACACTACATTTGATGAGGTAAGATTTAATATATATTCTGGAGTAAAATTCTCTCAAATCAAATCCTTCCTCTGTAGTTTTTTCTCCTCCTATGGGTGAGGAAAGAATGTCACCATTAGTATTATGTATCATGGTTATTTTAAAACCCATCTAAATTATACCATCGTAAAATTGACTGCTGTACTAAAGAAAGAAGTGGTATCCAGTCTGACAGAGATGAACTTGTCTACTAAAGCCTAGAGCAGCATTACTGTGACCGATAATGATTGTACAAAACCTTGATCAGCCAGATGTATATAGTGTATGTAAATAAGAAATGTCATTTTATTAAATGGGATATTTATAGATGTTATGTTAAATGTAATGTTTATAGATGTTATGTAAAATGGGATATTTATAGATGTTATGTTAAATGTAATGTTTATAGATGTTATGTTATATGTAATGTTTATAGATGTTATGTAAAATGGGATATTTATAGATGTTAAGTAAAATGGGATATTTATAGATAAAATGGGATATTTGTAGATGTTATGTAAGATGGTATCAGTTGATCAAGAGAATCATCTTATAAAGAAACTAGGACAGCCGTGTATGGTATGTAGTAATAACAGTTTAAAAAGATGACAGTGTTACTTTAGATAAACTTTACACCCTCCTTTCCAGTGCCACACAAACTTAACAATAATTTACATGACGTCACTGAAGGAACCAGAACTAACAATTTTCAATTGGAAATGTTAGAAATACAACTAACAGTTAATTCTAAGCACAATAGAATACTGAAACAGATGTACAACCGCCTTTAATCAATCATAATATATTCAAATTAAAAACTTGTCTACTTTGCTAGTCTGACAACCTCTAGAGGGCTATTTGTTATGTTTTGTGCGGTACTCCTGATATTCTCTCATATTATGAAAGTTTTAATAAAAAAAATCTCCATTCAGTAACTATTTCACCAACAAATATCCCATAATTTGCAAGAGATACTGGTTAGACTGCTATGACATTAGCATTCATCCACAGTTGTTAAATAAAATGAACAGTAGGAAAGGATTTTTCTATTGCGGTTCTAAGGTCACTGCACATTAACATTTTTTAACTTGGGGTATTGTATCAAAATTTTTCTGGTCAATATCTAACCAGGCCATTCATTCCAATTTTTGTTCGTCAAGGTGTGATTTTGTAGGATTTTAGTTCTCTCTCCATTACAAACACAACAGTATTTGCTGCTCCAGAAATACTTGAAAATAATTTGTCAGATATATTTTTACGGCACTGAAAGGAATCAATACTATTAAAAGTCATGTTTATGTGTTTTCTAGTGTATTAAACACACCCTATGTCTTATACATCTGTACACACCGGACAGTATTGTGGTATTTATTTTTTAAGGATTTATTGATGGATTTATTGGTGTATCCAACTGGACCAAGGTTACGAGATAGACTGAGTCATGGTGAAACAAATATAGACACATTTCCTCGTCACTGGGCTGACATGACAGTTTATCTATCTATGTATTGTATATTATATTTTAAAGACTCTAAAACTTCTACTGATGTAAGTAAATGCCAGTTTCTTAACTTGCTATACTTTACAACCATTGAATATTATCAGTAATGTATGCATTGTCTTTAAAAAAAAATAAAAAAATAAATGAAATGAAATGAAATGGGTTTTAACGTCCTACTGTTCTGCTCCGAACTGGGCTAATGAAGATGGGCATACGCCATACAGTGTGCCATAAGGGAAATTTTGCCCAGACAGCGGCACTATGGCATACTCTTATATCGAATTCCAACTGTCAAGGGATCTTTTACGTGTTACCAATGTGTACACAGGACCTTGATTTTTTGTCCCATCCGAACAACTAGACAGCTGTCCTTGTCAGGCCCTCCGTCCTGCATCACTGAAAAGGGGAAACCACGCCGGAAAGTCTGGATGAACTTTCTCGGCCAATGCAGGGATGAACAACACCTGACCTCCAGGCTTGCGAGCCAGCGTCTTACCCACTTAGCCACCCTGACCCTCCAAAAAATAGAATTCAACATGAAAATACATATACCAAAGTCCAAATTATGACAAATAAACCAAAATAATTTCTTCATAGTTGATGTTCTGTTAATATTTTAACTAGCTACGGGTATTTCAAGACAAAATGGAAGCCATGAAGCTGTATCAGTCCCATTTTCATCCTATTTCAATTCTAAAATCAAAAGTAGGTGAATTTTCATAAAAAAAATGATGATTGGTGTTTTTCACTTTTGAGATAGACACATAGCTTTCAACCGATATCCAATGTACATAAGGTTGGTCGTAGGTCCAAATGGTCTAATGTTTACATTTTAAATCATAAGGTCTGTCATTGAATCAAGTGGTGTGGTTTTCGATACCATATGACAAGGAGTAGGATCGCCTACCTAACTCTATGGGATTTCTCTGGGTCCTTCAGTTTGCCCCACTACATAAAGACCTATACTGCAAGCAAGTTATTGAAATAAAATTGAACCATCTGTTTGTCTTAAAATGACCTAGTTTGTGTTGAATGGATGTTAAACCTAATTTCTATCTCTCTCTCTCTCTCCAATGCACATAATTTTATCATTGGTTTCAGACCTACATATGTTTGTACAACCAAGTTAGCTTGATAATTTATTCTCATTTTTAACATTTCACAATCCTATATTATTTATGTAACAGGTGAACGAGTTATGTATACTGAATGATGGTATGACAGAGTGGATTTCTGTAGATCCTAGTTTACAGTCATGGTAAGATTTCTGTAGATCCTAATTTACAGTTATGTTAAGATATCTGTAGATCCTAGTTTACAGTCATGGTAAGATTTCTGTAGATCCTAATTTACAGTTATGTTAAGATATCTGTAGATCCTAGTTTACAGTCTTGATAAGATTTCCGTAAATCCTAGTTTACAGCCATTTTAAATTTGATTCTGTTGTGGGGATCTCAGTCCTCACATTCATAACAGTGTTGTTCACTACTTGGCAACCATCCATTAAGTGGGCGTCACATTGTCCCGAAATTGACTCCAGATGGACACACCATAGAGTAAATGTTCAAGTTCGGCTCTGATCGTAAAAACATTGGTCCATTCGTGAGGGCATTTTATCCACCGTATGGCTCTGGCAGCAAGTTCATGGGCGCTGGTAAAAAATTCATTTTTGTTTTGAATTTGTGTGTCTATTTTGTCCTTCATAAGGCCATTGTGAGGACATCTTCATCTTTACTTCGTCTGATTATCAGTGCCATTGGGCATTCTTATACGCCCACATTTGTTTGTGGACACTCTACAGGTCACACTTTTCATCCGATTTTGACGAAACTTGAAATATAGGGTTATCGTCCAAAGATCTAAGTTCCTTCCAATATTATCATGAATTATGGCCCCTGATTATACGCAAAATCGTATTTTTTAGCTCGCGGTCCCTCTAGAGATTTCAATTTTTAAAGGTTTAAATATATCACTGTTAAACCACAATGGCTGTTGAGTTCAAATTTTGTGAAAATCGGACCGAAACTGGAGGACAAAACGGCTGCTCCCCTTACGCCAAAGTTGTCGACCCTCTAGAGATCACAATTTTTATCCGATTTTGATGAAACTTGAAATTTATATTTATAACCCAACAACCTCGGTGCCTTTCGATGTTGTCCTCTGTTCATCGCTTGCAAAATGTGGTTGTATCTTGCTTGGCAACTGCTTGTTCTCCATACGAACACAATCTGCCTGATTGTCTTAAGAAGGCAACACGACTACGTGAAGCCCTCACAATGCCCTATTAAAGGGCAAAATGAACACGTGAATCAACACGAAAATGAACCTTCACAAGGTCTTTCGGCACAATTTTGGCGGTCATACGATGGCTTACGATGCCCTCACGAATTGCCCGATGTTCTTACGATCAGAGCCGAATTTACTTTATCGTGTGACTATCTGGAGTCAATTTTGAGAGATTATGACGCCTGATAAAGCATCTTCCTGAGTCAGTCCTGGGCAACACGACAGAGCCATCGTGTGGCCTTCGTGTATCCTTTTGAGTATAAACTACTATACAAAATTCACATCTTCGGTATTACCTGTGGTTAGGGTGCAATCGTGTGACTTTCTGCAAGCATCGCACTTGCTTCGGCTGTTGTTTGGTTTTTGACCATGTTCGGGGTCATCTTCGCACGAAATTCAAAATTCCATATTCATATGGCCATCTGGTGTCAATTTCAGGACAGTGTGACCCCAGCATCAACATCATGTTATGTGTTTGTCTCTTTGGTAGGGTATTTGATCACAACAATGGCCAGGTTTCAATTTAAAGATGCTAGTGTAATTTGAGGGGAACAAAAACTAACCATTAAACTAAAACATGAAAGGAAAGGAACAGAGTTTAACATCTCATCAACAGAATACATACGGTTACCTTTTCTATCGTCTTGTGTACAAAACTGGGGAGGAAAGCTGATTTCAGTCAACTTTCCATCAACAGAAAAGGATAAAATAAATAGGGTTTCATAACATCATTAAATGAACTAATTATCATCAAATTGGATAGCATATAATTCACAGATTGTATTATTAGATCCCCTATTGACTATAAATATGGAATTCATATTAAAATGACCCTTGTAATAAAATCTGGCTCAGGCCCATAAAACTCCCACCCACCCCCTCCATTCTGCCATTCTGCCCTTGATTTCGCACATTGTTTCAACTTATTTAAGATTGTCTTGTTTTACAGGAATATTAAAGCTGGTTGTGATAATTTTATAAATAATAATTTAATCTACCACAAGATTAAATCATTGATTTTAGAGATAGATGAAATAATAAGAAATAAAACTGTAAATAATACAGATATACATATAGACACTTGGTAAGTTAATATCTTGTCTTATGGCCATTGCTTGCAGATTCACAAAGTTTGACTCAGTGGTTTGACTTGGTTCCTTATTATTTATTAGTTACAAAAACAAATAACTTTATACATGACATTCTGGAGGGTTGGATGGCCGAATGGTTAGCATGTGCGCGTTGTACCATAAGGCCTGTCATTGAGTCAACTGGTGTGGTTTCGAATCCCCGGTTGTACGTGACAAGGAGTAGGGTCGCCTGTCCAACCTCGTGGGTTTTCTCCATGTCCTCCGGTTTCCTCCCACTGCTAAAGACCCCTACGCGCAAGCGAATTATTGAAATAAAATTAAACCATATGTTAGTCCCGAAATGACCTAGTTTGTGTCGAGTGGACATTAAACCCCATCTCTCTCTCTCTCTCTTTCTCGCTCTCATGACATTTTTGTAGCTAAAGTTGTAAGCATAAATTCAGTACTCAATAGAAGTAATAATAAGAAGTAAAGAAGAAAATCAAAGATTTATACAAATGATTATCTGTCCGTTGTTGAAAAGCCCCAAGAAGAGTGCTTCATGAAGACAATGCAAATAAAGCAATAGGATTAATCAATTCTCATCTATAAAAATAGGTTCTAATCCAAACCAAACTGATGCATGTCAGGATATTACCCTGGATGCAACCATGAACAAACGAAAACTGATGTAGTTTCAAGCAAGTCTTATTATGCACATGGTACCGATCCAAACTGGACAAGTTGTTGCGTCAAACAGTGACAAAAGTTTTGAATTGTGGACCAATGAAACATTACATGTATTTCCAGTTGTAGTATTATAGGATTAAGGATTTTATTTTGTTGCAAAGCAATGACCCACATTAGAGTCACCTGTACTTTCTTTTAAAAAAAAAAACGTTCCAAAATAGTTTGGGGACCTTTGTTGAAATCCAGTTACTCTTAAATAGAATAGTATGGCTTTTCTACCAAACGGTTCTTTTTTCTCGGGATAATCTCTTGTAAGGCATCATTGTTTGAATATGGTTTAAAATTTATGTTATTGAGATCAAAAGCTTTCAACTTTTTTCTGTTTAAGTTATCTGAGACCAGAGGTGGATGAATTCAGTCTTAAACCATCAAAAAGTTTAACCATTGTTAATATGCTTTATACATTATTTATATAATACAGGTTTTGTGAACCGTTCACTGATAATGCTCACCTATTAACAGATCTACTACAAGTCAGAATACCCACTTTATTTAGATTTAATGAATCTCAGCAAGTTAATAAGGTAGGTCCAAAATCATGGTAACATTTACTTCTATAGAGTATCATTTCTTTTCTTTTTTTACCCGTGGGTGAACGTAATCTGACTGTAAACTTTATCAGGAAAGTTTGGTTCTAATGGCTTTCGTGCCAACTTCTTGGGTTATGGCCCTTGCGTTTTACACACAATGTGGATTATGCAAAGTTTGTGGATCTTCTAGAGCTTACGACTTTTGTCCGAATTAGATGAAACTTAAAATGGATGTTAAGGATCAATAACATAGGACATTTAGGCCTGATTTTATGGCATAAAATGATATTTCGTTGTCCGACAGTCGACCATCTTAAAATGACTACCATCTCGGATTTTCGAATGGCTACTGGACTTTTTCAAAAGAGTGATTTCCAGGGTATATTTATGCCAATTAAATACTTGTATTCACATTTGAATGATTTGCCTGATTTTATTCAGTTATCTGCTGCACTAAATTCGACTGTATCAATGATTGACGGTTGGGCAAGTGGCTGGTAGTATTACCTGATTGTCCATCTATTGCATGGTTTTGAAGAAAAAATATAAAAAAAGAACTGGAAAATGGTTTGTATTGCTTTGCTAGGTGATATGGCGGGGTATCGGGTTCAAAATGCAATCTAGAGTAAAAAGCAGAAAGTCAACAGTAAAAAGTAGAAAATCTAAAGTAAACGGGAAAATTCTTATCTATGAAAATTTATGAAAATGGCGAAAAATTACATGGCCACTATCAGCCCCCATAGTATTGGAGAAAATCTGCGTTAGAAAATCGTGAGTAGAAAATCTGAAGTGGAAAGTCGAGAGTTAAAAGTTGACAGTAGAAAGTAGAAAGTCGAAAGTCAAAAATTGATAGTAGAAAGTAGAAATTATGTCCATGAAAGTTGAAAAGCTTGATGTTTCTGCAGACTAAGTACATAAATTTATAGGTTTTCACCATAAAAATACCCTTTTAGATACGAATTTTCCCGTTTACTTTAGATTTTCTACTTTTTACTGTTGACTTTCTACTTTTTACTGTTGACTTTCTGCTTTTTACTCTAGATTGCATTTTGAACCCGATACCCCGCCATAAGGTGAAGCATTTACTTTTTGTTGAATCGGGGTATTTTTGGACGTCAGTTGGGCGGTATTATAGCTATTTACACTCAGTAAAAGTAACTCAAGATGTAAAAGTAAATCCCAAATATTTCCTATTTTAGGACTGTAAATCTACAACACCCAAATTAATTAAAGAATCAGAGCTGGTCAGCTTGTTATCTCGAATCACCATGGAGATGTCAGCAACCCTTAGTCAGTTAAAATTAAATGTTGTCTCTAGACAGGATAAATTACTAAAAAAAGAATTACGATCTAGGCAACGAGAAAATATGAAAAAACTAATTTTAAGGTACATGTAGATTTTATTAAATTTCGGCCATAGTTAAACCGCCCAGAATGAATTCGCATTGTATTTCTTACATAATTAAATCCTATGATAATCGTCAGTGACGTAATAATTACATACTATAAACACTCGCCATTTTATGTTTGGAGTCATTGATAAAAAATTTGTAATAATTAATTTAAATGTTCAACGTTTCGTTGCAGTTTACCCATATTTCATGTAACAAGTCATCTTGTATGTATATTATGTATATATTACTTATATAATCTACATTTATATACACCCCAATATACCACCCAATTACACAGGTAAGATATAAGTTTACTATCTTTAATATAAACACACAAAAGTTTACTATCTAAAATATAAAAACACGAAAGTTTACTATTGAGAATATAAATAGGGGCCTACACAAAACTTAAAGATATGTAATATAAGATTCAGATAAAGAGCTAGCCATTCTTGTTATAATGGTTTCGAAAATAGATAATGTAAAATGAATAATTAGCCTTTGAAGGTTTGAGAAGACTGTGCATTAATTGAAACCACCGTACTGGTTGTTCCAACGCTAAGTCTCGCTCCTCCATTTTTAGATTAAATCAAAATATGGCTGAACCGTTCTGATCTGTTTAATATCGGAGATATCCGATGGCATCGAGAATTGATTATGGTCTTGTCATGTTAATAAATGTCTAATTAATAGTTTATATGACATTTTGGGCCACAGACAGATTTAGCTCTTGCATAATGTTATGTTTAACCATCTAGAATATAAACACACAACAGTTTACTATCTAGAACATAAATACATGTAGGCCCTACTTACTATCTCTAATATAAAAACACAAACGTTTACTATCTAGATTATGAATACAAAAACGTTTAATACAGTATCTAGAATATAAATACTAAATGTTTACTATCTCGAATATAAATACAAAAAAGTTTACTATCTAGAATATAAATGTACACACGCACAAAATATTATTTCCATTTTATTCGTATGCAGTTCAAGTCGCTGATAGTCATTTGCAGTTTAGGGAAAATAACTAATTTTGCACGGTTTAATTCAAGCGAAAATGTACTTAGATTTATTATTTAACAGGACGAAAACAAATTATCAACGGGAGATAATCTCCCGGCTTGGATTAATGCGGATTAAAAAGATGTTATTCAAAAGATTTCCGCGAAAATCATGGATGTTGCTGGTTGTGTGGACCATATCCGTATGCAATGGATGTCGAATATTGACAAATGTTCATCGTATCTTTATAGACAATCACTCAATGATGATCACAGACTTTAAGAACATGAGTCTGAAAGTTAACTTGAGAAAACACTAAGGAATTATTACAAATTCTGAAAACATTTTATATAGACATTATGACACCTTTAAACTCCCTTGCATAGAAATTCACGTAGTTTTAATTTTTATCTCGAACACAAAGCAAATGACTTTCCTAAGCCGAATACTACTAATGCTAGGTTCCCACTATCACGATTCGTACTACGATTTTAATCATGGAGTAGTCGTGGTGACCTTATATATTGAGGCGAATCGTAGCCATCGTGTTGACCGTATCGAAACGTATCCGAACGTATCTGTACGTAAAGGCCCGGTCCCAGTGGCCGATGGACACAAAACGTATGCAAAAAGGACACAGCGGACGAGCAAACTTTCGGGGGTGGCTCCATCCGTTTTCATGCGCTCCAGAAATGGACAAAATTGTCGAAAATTTGCGAAACCAGAACGGAAAAGAACGAACGTGGGAAGTATGTAGCGGTGATGTTAAATGGATGTTCATCGGAAGCCTAGCAGATGGAAGTGGATGACAGCTCCGAGTACACAACGGATGCATGGCGTTTTCAAACGGAGGGCACGTTTTTTCCCCGTTTTACATGCTCTTTGCATCCGTAAGTGCAGTGGGACCGAGCCTTAACAGACCGTGGATTCAATCGAGACAATCATATCGTAACGTATCGCACGACAGTGGGAACCTGGCATAAATTATATGAGTCGGGTCATAAAGGCCCTTGGATCATCTGTTGTTTTAAAAGTCAATATTGTATTAATATTTTCATTACTTTCTTTAAGCAGATTTTTAAAGAAAACTTTACAGTTCTGTGAGAACTTAAGAACTTATACAAGTCAAGATAAAAATAAATGGACTGAAGCCATGGAATTGATTTTGAAACATGTAACCATTGTTAATCAGTTTATCGCAAGTTAAATATTTGAAAACACCTGTTACTATCATGTGTTTACAATTATTTATTAATTTTTTAAATGTTATTTATTAAAATATTCTTTTACACACTGTTTTGGGTTTTTGTCTTGCTTTATTTGATCATACGATTATGATTACTGCGAAATAAGGTGAAACACGACTGTCATTATGAGATTGAAAGAAGTCTAGACAAAGACCAAATTTCCCAAATGACTACAGCAGGAGTGGTCAACCTATGTCACAAGTGGCATGTTGAACCATGCCATGTGGCACATTAAATGATCGAATATAAAAAAAATTAAGTAATTTCAAATATTAATCCAAACAGAAACAAAACTCTTATTAAGGTCCGTAATGTTTCTATTTCAACCTTCAATCTGATTAAAACACAGATACTATTTCGTTTTACTTGCCTTCACTACACTAAGACCTGAAAGAGTTGTTATATAACCCGCATTCTGGTTGATGTGAGGGATTTCTTGGCGTGCGGTGCACGGAACTGTGGGTGGACATTCGCAGCTAAGACAAAGCAAAAGTTGTATTTCTAAATACCCACTTGAAACATCAACGTTGATTGGTTAATGAAATGTCTGACGTCGTAGAGTCAAAAGCCGCTTGTATGACCCCTGACGCGACCTCCCTCACAAGGTTGAATGTGTTTAGTCTTTTAGTGGTATTCAAAGCCAGTTTAAGTGAGAAAAATCCATTTAACCTTAAGTACCTATTGGGGGTACCTTAAAGTGAGATTATAATGACTTCTTTTAACCGGAGTACACAATGTAGTAGCAGGCCCGTAATGGCGGTTTTAAAAGTTAGAGAATGGGGATTGAAACAAAGACAATGTCGCTGAGCGTAGCTGGCATCAGCTTTGATTTTGTAGAGCCATAATAGTGTATAAGGTTACTACCACCGAAATGGTCAAGTATTTTTTTTCCCGATCATCTATCATGTTCGTATTGCTTAATCAATCATGTTTGCCACGACTGTCATTCAATAAAATTCGATGCGTTAAATTTATTTGTAATTTGACATTGCGATGACATTCTATTGTAGATTTCAGAAAATATTAATACGGCCGCGAGAAGCAAGGCATGGTTTATATTTTACAATTCATTCCCATATACATATTTGAAGTTTTGATTGCTACATGTTCTTGTCTTCGTTTCTATAAATTTACAAATATGACGATGACTGCTGACCGAGGCGTGCCACCAATGATTTACAATGTACCGTCATGGCCAGGCCTTTGGGATACTAAAGTTTAGGAACTGATAGATTGATAAACAACACCGAATGATTTGTTCAGTTAACTTTAAAGCCAATAGCCCTGCGTATTGCTAATATCTATTCGATAACTGCTATTGAAATCTATTGTTTTTGAAAAACATATATACGAAAACAGCTGTTCCGGTAACGGATGCGTACCATCATAATTTATCGTAAATTATAGTCATACTATTTTCGTGCGTTGCAATATAATATTTCGACAAACATATTTCTAGTAAGTAATGACAACTAAGATTTTAATAGAGTATAGTGGTGCTTTTTAAAGGGACATAACTTGCGTGCGACATGAGTAATTCGTGATTTTTGGCAGTGGAGATTATTCCATAAGTTAAAAAATTCATGCTTTTTGGCTAATGTTGGTATTCCATATTTTAAGTGTGCGGTTAAGTTTTTCACATAGCCATGTATATGTAAAATACCGATTTAAGGTAAGACACTTGGTTAAGTGGAAAAATTAAGTATTTTTACTTAACTTTAAGAAAACCTTTGAATACGGACCCAAATCTTCATGTAGTGGAGGGAGGTCATCGAAAGTATAAAAAACGAAACGAAATATAGATCTGTATTTTAATCAGATTGTTTCACATGTTGAACTTATGCAGATCTGAAGTCGTACCGGTAATACTAATTAGGAGATAAACATCGACTATTTAGAATTTCGTCACGGTGATAACACAAGTGCCCAAGTCACCGTTTCAACATTTTGAGTTATTGGCCACAGATCACTAAACATTTGCCCATTGACTTTAATGTTAATTCTCGTCTCTTAGACCGGCTCTAACTTTTTCCCAAATTTTCCTTGGGTAGAACGCTTTCTACCACAGATGGAGCAACATGTGGCAATCTCTTGTCCAAAAGCACGTATGAGGTTCACCATGGAAAACTTGAGATACACAAGCTGGAAGTAGAGACAACAAAACATGCTATTTTGGACCCTACATTTCAACCTAACCATCCTCTCAATACTTGTATCCTTCCGCCTCAAAATCATGAATATTCACCAAAACCTGGTAGAAAATGTATTTTCAAACCCTTTTCTTCGATTCTACACCAAAAAGTCAACAAAAATCGCCATGCAAAAGGGGGAAAAGGGAAAGGGAGAGAAAGACTAAAAATAACTTTTGCCCTACAGGGTGACGGCGTAGAAATATTTGGTGAGCTGTGTCCTATTGTTATCCAGATGGAGCACAGAGTTATCTCCATCCGCTGAAAGTCACATTATTATAATAACCAATCAACTAATAGAATTACTGGTCCATTCATACTTCTGTATAACTAACTTTATGAGTTAGGCAACTCGTCGAAAGGTGGTGTTAATCGTGGTGTTTGTTTCGCATACGAGATTCTTGCCGAGCGCAGCGACGCTAAAAGTGTTTTTCTTTACCTTTTCTTACGTTATTTCCGAGAAAAAAAACATAGCAAAGTAAACAATTTGTTACATGTTACATTAGAACAGTTTGTGACATTCTTATTTCCGTTTCATATGTTAGCGCAAAATTGTCTGATTTCTTTCCGATATGTGGAAATAACTATTATTCCAGGCAAAAAGATATAAGAAAAGAAACAGTCTACTGTGGTAGTATTTTAAAAAGCACAAATAAACTTCTTTGAAGCTTGACATGTGCATGTTTATACGCCCTCATTTTCACGTGGACGTATATTATCGTTGCCCCTGTCCGTTCACAGTCCACAATTTGTTTGTGGACGGTCTATAGGTCCAGTAGTATTCTAAAAGCACAATTATTGAACTTCCTTGAAGCTTGACATGTGCATTTTTATACCCCCTCATTTTCATCATGTGGGCGTATATTCTCATTGCCCCTGTCCGTCCACAGTCTACAATTTGTCTGTCGACACTCTACAGGTCACAATTTATATACCATTTCGACGAAACTTAAAATATAGGTTTATTTATAAAAGAGTTCTGTTTCTTTCGATATCGGTCTGTAACATTCTGGGTTATAGCGTGTTTAGCTTGTGGTCCGTCTAGAGGTCACAATTTTATCCTTTTTTAAAATCCGTTCAAATATATCACCAATACACCCTAATGACAGCTGAGTTCGAATTGCATGAAAATCGGACCAACATGCCCGACCAGATGGCCGCTACTCATGGTGTTAAAGTATGTTGTGGACCCTCAAAAGGTCACAATGTTATCCGATTTTGATGAAACTTTTAAGTATATGTTTATATCGAAAGGATCTCAGTTCCTTTCCATATTCGTATTATAGACAATGCACTTTTAGCTTGTGGACCATCTAGAGGTCACAATTTTTAGCTGATTTAAAAAACCATTCAAATATAATATCACCACTGCACCCTAATGACGGTTGAGTTTGAATTTCGTGAAAATCCGATCGAAACTGTCCTACAAAACGGCCGCTCCTCGTACGCAAATAGTGTAAACGTATGTAATACCAATGTTGTGTACCCTGTAGGGGTCACATTTTTATCCGATCATGAAACTTAAAATATATGTTATATCCCAACGATTTCGGTTCCTTTCGATATTTCATATGATCGGTCCCTACTTCGAGCCGTATTTGAAAACGCCAAAACCCGAAGAAAAAAATCACTGTTGTTCCGACTGTCCAGAATATTTGGTCAAGTATAGTATTATGAGAACCGTAAAGAAGAATAAATAAATAAAGAAAAGGGACATTACAGAATAATATCATAAGCAGTGTTAAATACGAGAGACGTCTCTATTTTAGTAAAGGCACATTCAATAAACGAAAAATCCAATAGAAATTGGGAGGGCGGGGGCGCACCTCTCACCCCCATCCACGTCTGAGACCGTTATTAATACCACTGTCTTGTCTACGAATGGCTATTCCCAAAATACAAGCAAACTGCTTCCCATAAGGTGATAAGAGATTCTTCGGAAGTAAACGGGTAATTATTCTGTTGCTCAAGTCAGAAATGACTAAATTTACTTGCTCATGTCATTGCTGATCTCAAAACCATTTAGATAATAATCACTTAAGTCATTTTTCTCTGCTAGTGTTGACTCGGCAGTAAAACGCCCCTGTTGAGATAAATAAAGCTTATATCATGAATGATTTGAGCACAAAAACTATATCTCAGGTGTCATCTAGCACAAAATGAGTTGAGCACTGGTGTTATGACCGTGATAAATCATTAGAGATCGCGTTTTACTTATTCGACGCCACTTTTTGACCAAATTTCCATTTTGGGCTACAATATTTGGCACGTGGAACATAAAAGCTTGGCCACCGCTGGACTAGTGTTAACAAATCCTCCGGTCTAGACTAAACCTTTTTGATGTGGGTCAAAGAAAAACTGTCGATTTCGCTAGCAGATATGGCCAGTATTGATATATAACTGATTCTGTGCTCCACTGCCAACACTGCCAACATTCTCCTTAACATTTTTAAACATGAATGTAATATATAAAACGCTTGCCCAATCACAAATCGAAAAGGTTTAATAAGACATAGTGATATATAATACAAGGATGAGTAAAAGGTTATCCCAAATTGCGCAGTTTTCCTTCTGTAATAAATACGACCTGAATATTGCGCAGTATGAATTCATTATTATTGACTTCCTAGGATACCTCAAAGCTGTAATAAATGTATTGAAACAACGTTCACGGTGTTCCGGAGCAAAGAGGGGTTTATCTTACTCAAATATCATTCGTTTTATGTTGCCTGTAGCTAGAATATCTGCACATTCCTAGCATTCGTTTGGCGATGTTTTGTGTTTAAGGCTTCGTGAAAAATAATTGAAACTTTTTTCTGAAGTTTATAAGAAAAAGAAATCGATTGTATGTTTGTCCATGTATCACCATAACCGATTGATCTGCATAGTAACCATAGGGAGAAAGGGTGAAATTTTAAATATGTATATTACAATGTTACATATACATGGAATACGGCTTCAAAAACACACGATATGAATGGGTTTAATAGTAATTCCCCAGTATACCCTACAAAGGATTAAAGGAATTTTTCGAGTGTTATAAATTGAATTCTTTAAATTATCGTTTACAATATTGTGCATCCGTTATTTTAGATATGATGTGGGCATATCTTACAACTGTTGTCGACACAGGGATTAGGGTATGTGGAATTGTGTCCTTGGCACCACATCTCCATCTACTTCCGTGTTTTGTTTTAAAGAAAAAAACAAGTTTGTATAAATGTAGTAATAAAAAATATCTGACATTTGGCTGAGTAGAATTAAGTTTTATAGGAAAAATGGCATTTGAAAATTTGCAATATAGCACTTTAGTAAATTTACAAGAATCACCAAAATATGTACATATATAGAGAATACGTGTACGGTTGTTTGTCCCAATCGAGAAATGAAGGTGAGCATACGTCACACAGTGTGCTACGAGAATGTTGTCTTAACGGGGGGTTTTCCGCATACTTTCCATCAAATTCCAACTGCCAAGGGTTATTCTACGTGCAGGCCAACGTGTACACGAGAAATCTGGTATATGTCCCACCCGAAAGACTATATACTGTCCTACACCATTAACAAGTGGAAAGCAGGTTTGAAAATCCCGAGTCACTTTCCTGGTCGACACTGGGGTCACCTGGTTAATGAGCAAGAGCATTAATTACCCATGCAGCATAGCTCCCTAGAGAGATTGGACGACATATCCGACTGTAATCAAAGAAAATGTTACGATCTATCTATAATGAAATCATTTGCCTATAAGTACATCTGTAACCCCGAATGAAAAGAAAAGCAGTTTAAGGTAAAGTTCGATCGACTGTTGTTAGGTAAGCGGTTTGTTGATCTATGGCTAATACTCCTTCTACAAAATCCGCTACTCTTATAACTTCTCTCTCTGTGTTTGATTAAACTACCTCTACTCTCACACAACTCTCTGTATGTCACGTGAACATATTAAACCATCTAAATTTAGACATTCGTTTATTTAAAAATCAAATAGGACCCAAATCGACTGGACGATTTTCAAGTAGGAAAATTCCAAAGACGAGTGACTCAAATGAGAGACATAACCAACTTTATTTCGGGAAGACGACACGTAAATACACCGAGCTGCGAGACGAAGAACTGTGCTATTATGAATATTTTCGTTTAACAATTTGTCTATAAACCTAATAGCTCTTTCAAGTGTATTTATTCCACTGGAAAACAGATTTCGGTAAGTATCTCATTAATAGAATAACATATTTGAAAATGTTTTCAATATAATTTAATTTTATTTATAAATGTCAATGCAAATATTTGATTCAAAATTATTTTAAAGATAAATATTGCAGGTTTTTTTTTTTTTTTTTTTTTTTTTTTTATCGTACCAAAAATAAATTGAGAATCCACTGAATTTAATAATAGAATTTAATTTGATCGAAGCGATAATTTACATTGTGGATCATGAATTAAATGAGGATTTTTCTTGGGAGAAAGTTGGGAAGGGGGTTGTATTATTTCAATTTTGAAAACCCATGGGGATCTATTCTGTTTTATTCCGTCAAAGGTTTCTCAAGGAAAATAAACATTTAAATTGACGTGAGACCACATGTTTAAAGCATGTATAATGTGTTAGAAATGAGATAAAATTAAAATGAGGTTTAGTGCCAACTCTTGTGAATCAAGCAGACTACTGAAGAAAGTTAGTTTTCCCATATAAATATTCTAATCCTCGTTATACACGTAGTTTAATTGCTATAGATAACTCGAAATTAAAACCAGAAAACGAGGTGGGTAGAACATCTATACAATAAATGGGGGGTGGGGTAATATTTGTTTAAATGATACGCTTATAACTTTTCTCCTAAGATTTGAAATGAAATGAAAGGGATGCTTTTTCTGCACCAATCGGGCTAAAGCGGCTCATACACACACAAACATTTTCCTCAATAGTATTGATGTCAAATTATTTGATGTGTTTTTGATCGTGACGGCCTAAAAGTATATTGACGGGCCTATTCTAGATAGATATTTTTTGCGCAAACCATCAATAAGGCTAGCGCAAGAGCACAATGTGTAGAGCAAACATCAAACTGCCAATACTATTGAGATCAATACTATTGATGAAACAGTTTGTGGGTGCAGTTGCAAGAATCACATAGCAGGTATCATGGCGTTCATATGGACACGTGGAAAAGATTTAATAATCCTCACAAAATTGCTATTATGTGTACTATGTGATAATGGCAATTCAAGCTTGATACAAAAACCATAGAATATTTTGAATTCATCATTTAATTTTTGGTATTTGTAGCATGCAGATGCTAAAAGAGAGAATACTCTGGCATACTTAATATGGTATCAGACAGCAAACACATTAGCAAAATCCCTTCTGTGAGTTATCAGTTAGGGTCCGATTGGACCCCATGTTCCTGTCAAGCGCCGGGACTGATTTGCATGTAACATAACTCTGCGTGTGGGAGGCAGATATGGATACCCATCTCTTCACTACGTGTAAAAATGTATAGCAGACAAAGTCACTAAATTTCAGAAAGCAGTACCCAATAGTTATTACAAAACACTATAAAACATGTGCATGGGGTCCACGGAGACCCCACGTGCACCGACAAGGATTAATGAAGACGGGGTTCTTTTACCTACACGGGTGGACCTCAGTTTTACATCCCGCCAGTACTACTGACAAGGGGAAACCAGGTTGCAAAATTCAGAGGAACTTCTCGGCCAACACTGGGATCGAACCAAAGACCTAATGGTTTGTGGGCCAGCACCATACGCACTGAGCCATCACGACTCCCTCTTAGCCAAATATCAACAACAAAAACAACAAGATGCACTTAATTCAGACCATAAACACGTTACACATTTCAGATGCGACAAAATTACTGGTTTAGGAGCCCTAAAGACCTAAACAGGTCGCCACAGAGTCCCCTCTAATAGTGGGGCGAGGTTTGGTATTTGATTAAATATGCTGATTAGTGAAGTTTGAATGTCCAGCACATTTCATAATCAAAATAATAGGACCATAGGCTGATAGAAGAATTTGTAATACTATAAGGTTTTCAAGTTTAAGAATACACTGTTTTGTTTACTGTATCGGGGGCACTACCTATTATGGTTGACAGTTGGGAGTCGTGGTAAATAGTTGCAGTCATGTTAAACTTGGTGTGGTAATACTACATTAGTACAGATTATAGCAAGAACTTAAGATGTATATGGGAAGTGCGTTTGAAGTGCAAATAAGATTTTGGGTTAATCAGGTGTCCTAAAAATAAACCGGTTCAGTGGCGTCAAGTCTGGTAAACTTAAAGTTTCTATATAGTCCTTCCAGTTAATTCTTAGAAAACAGGTGCGCGGTTTCCATATTATTAATACCTTGTGTTTGAATCTAGGGTAAAGTTTTTGCAGATGAACAATATTGTAGAGTATACCTCGTTATTCCCTGGGGTAGAGTAAAAGAACTGAACGGACTCCGATTCCTCACACACCATTGCGCCACACTGGACAGATTTCAACGTTGGTTGTATATCAGCCGCGTCGGAATAGAGGTTGAGTCAGACATCATTTAGCGTTTCTGGAGACACCCAGAGTTTCTAATGCGATCACGTGGGCTTTCAGAATATAGATCTGGGTTATCGTGGGTCTTTAGACTATTGATTACAGCTTATATGTTATACCATAACTGTTTCTTGTAATACTGTTATATAAACAAGTAGTTACAAGAACACGGCTATCTAGTTTTAACTATTAGAAAATGCAACGTGAAGTCCATAAAGAAGTGAAAATATTGAAGTCCATACGGAAGTTCAAAAAATAAGAAACCAGGATCGCAAGATAGCCTTACACTACTCACACTAATCTTTGAAAGCCGAGGACAGTATCACATCTTGGAAGCCCGTGATCTGTCTATTTGGTTGCCGTGGAACTTGGAATAGTGTCACATTGCCTGATTTGGAGTCCGTGACTAGGACTATAGTGCCACTCTGTATATAGTGTCACACAGCGTGGCCGTGGTGTCACATTGCCGATTTGGAGCCGTAGTATAGGATCAACATGACCACAGTGCCACACTATAAGTGAACCATGTTTCATTTTATGTTTGTTGATATTTATTAGAAAGTAAAGAAATGTAAACGTAAGATTTCGAGCAGCAAGAGATTGCCGAACGTGGATTTTACGGTCTCTCTGCTCCTGGAACTTGAAACATGACAATCATTATCTGAGAATAGTATAGTACAGACCCGCTATGTCTTTTTTAAAATAATCCAGGGGATTAATTTTGGATTGGTGACAACCTTGGTAAACTTAAATGTTACAATATTTTTAAATTTTGTTACTGTTTTTGTCTTCGGAGTCTATGATTTTGTTTGATTCTATAGTTGCCTAGGCTATGACCACTTCTAATAGTTTACACTAGGGTCGTACTATTTCTACTTCTAGCAGAAGAGTGTATCGAGATCATGGCTTCAGAGCCTAAATAAATGATTTCCCAGGAAACAACGTCTGACAATAGTGTGGACTTGATAAATTTCACGTTTCTGTGGTTGTTTAGAGAATGTAAACAAAGCAGGCCTTATCATATTGTTGACAATATCATGTATAACAACAATAATCCTATTGTTGAAATCTTAAACATAGCTTTATGACGAATGTTATTGTGTACCTTTTTTTCTTTTTCATCTCCTAAATAACATTTTCTCTGCCAACCCAGGTTAAATGCAAATAATTATATTTTCAACATGATCATCTGGCAGATATTGCTATAAACTAATAACATAAAATGGAGTAAAGATCATCTGATTGCAAAAAAGGGTTATACTCTTGCTCTCACTTTAAAAGTAAGCCAATTTTAACAGTAATATGTGTACGTTTATCTATATATGACGTCTTCAAAGATAAAGAAAATGTCTAGCAAGCGGTGTAGCAAGGCTTTAATTTCTCTTTAAGAACGAATGCCATGTTTGTTTTCTTTCAGAGAAGGAAATGATGTTCTGTCGGGTAGCATTTGACCAATGCGAGCTATTCACGATTAACAGTTTTGAAATTTCACTGTTCAACGCAACACAGCCTGAAATAGACAGTCTTTATTTATCTTCATTGGCTTAACTTAAGAAATCCCGGTTTCAATAAAATACCTCCATATTCTCTAGTTGTTTGTTAGGAAGCAAGTGATTAATTAAACGGTACATTTAAACATTGCAACCATTACTGAACAGAGTTAAGCCATGGGGTTAAAACAACTCACATTGGTTTCGTATACGGTAAAAATCAAATCAAAAGTCAGTCCCTTTGAAGGACTTCATTGCATTTGCCACAACTGGAATTGAATCTTGACACTGACTGCTTAATGTGACATTTTGAGGTTAAAAATTTTATTCAGTGCTTTCTTTGTGCATGTGTCATATGCATGGGTCATGTTGATTTGATACCCGACTGTTTATATTGTTTACAAGCGCATGTAGTACGCTGGTTAAACAACATACCTGCAACACGATCGATATGAATGTTTGTTGAATGTAATCGTGAAAAATATCGATTAGGGAGCTGCAAATAAATAAAGAGAATGGTCTAGTCAACGCTGTACTTACGCCATTTTGATGCCAACATAATATGTAGTGGTTATGATATAAAGGGGGAGGTGGTCTACTCTTCTAAACACAAACTAAATGGCATATAAAAATTACAAACTAATGATATCCGAATATCAAGACCAATACTTGTATTGTCATTTGCACAAAACATCTGTCTCAACTGTTGACTTTGATTTCCATTCGAAAAGTGTTTATTAATTACACAAATTATATTCAATTAATTCTTATGTCAGCAATTTGGAGTATTTTCGAATTCTTGAATCTTCGGACTATCAAATGATTGTTCTGCTCCTAAATCATAAACAGCTGGATGGAATTCAGCCAAATTTGGTAAACATATTGCTTGAATGAAGTTTATTGAGATTCGTTCAAACAAAGTAGTTCGTCCTCATAGATGCCATTCATGACACTTTGATGGAGGTACGTTTAAATACATTTTTCGCTTGACGAATTGTAACAAATTTGGTATATAATACGATGCATGTGCGTTGTTATTTTTATTCGAATTTGTTCGGTGGATATGACAAAGTAAGATATAAAAAAAGTGATATAAATCTTTCACTTCATCATGCGAATTTTACTCAGAGTGGTTCAGGAGTGTAACACTCGCTTTCCGTGTACGAGTTTCCGCCGGCGAAAAAGTCGGTGTAATGCAAATGCAATGGGATCGTTTCCATGTAGGCGTTTCAGCTCGATGAACGACTTTTCCGCGACTTTTTTTCTCGCGTAAAGTTTGCTCATGCATGCCCAAGCGGGTGTTTACTTTCTGGCGTTCAGACACGGGTTCTCTTCCACTAAGCCAATCAACCACTCTTGTTGCTGCAGATTCAGCTTGCAAATGGCAGATATTTTGGACATTGTATTATTAAAATGGCGAGGACTTAACTTAAACAATGATGGGTTCATGCTGTAAAGAGAAATCACCTATGTGGGATGCCCCAAACGTTTCAGCGATTTTTCTGTACACATGGAAATACAAAAAATCACGCTCAGAAACGTTGTATACACTGGCGGAAGCAAGACCATGAAAAGCGGGCCTAACCGATTCAGGTTTATCCACCGGTTTTCACGATATATTGTGAAATCGTCCAATACTGTGATGGAACGCACTGTTACTTATCATTTGATAATTACTCAAAACATTACATGGGAGTCACTAACCAGGAGGTGCGATGTTCGATCCCAGTGTTGACCGAGAAAGTGCCTCGGAATTTTGTCAGTGGAAAGACACAGTTCCTTGTCGTTCAGATGGGACGAAAGCCGTAAAAGAACTCTTGATCAGAATAGTAAGCGGAAAAGGCTGTTTTCCCCTTGTCAGTGGTGCTGGGCAGACGCGACGTCTAGTTGTTCGAATACAATATTAGTAAAGTACTAAAGAACCATTGCCGGGTGTTATTGCCTCTGTTCCCGAAACGTTTAAAGGACAGAAATTCTTCAACATGCACCAGGAGGAACCCTATCGAGGAAAGCTTGCGGCTACAGAGGCTTCAAACATCGAAAACGTACTCATCCTTTGAACATTTATCACTAACCATCACACCTGCATCAAAACCGCTAACGATTATCTGTGTCTACAGACAACCTCCTTCAAGTAAAAAACAAATCTACTGATACAGACTTTGTAAATGACTTCAATAATCTCTTTGATTGCAACGAAACATCGTTATCGCTAGTGATATTGATGTGCACTTTGATTCTCCTAATTAAAAATTTACGAAACGTTTCTGTGAACTTTTGGATGTTCACCACCCGGTACAAACCATTATTCAACCGACACATCTATCAGGACACACCTTGGACTGGGTTGCTTGCCGTTATCCTGGTCTTATTCATAATGCGGATGTCGTTGACAAGATAATATCTGATTGAAGAATTTAATATTGATCTTCTGAACAGCACTATACTCACAAAATGTTCAAATGATGTTGATTATATGGTAGCTTTACTCAAACAATTATTACTTGACCTCCTCGACAAACATTGATAAAATCTACAAGATTCGTCATGGCCTTGGCTCTGTTAATACACAGGGGTGGGATGACAGTATGTCCATAGTTTCATCACTTCAATTTGGCTCTTTTAATCCTGTTTCATCTAAGAAGATAAGGAAGATAATAATAGCCCAGTCCAAACCAACATCATGCTCTTTGTACGTCATACCGACACATTTCTTGCTAAAAATTCTGAAGATCCCTTTGCCCATTATTTCTAATGGGAGTTTGCAGTCTGAAATGTTACCGGAAAGTTTTAAAATTGCAGTTGACAAACCTCTTATAAAAAAAAGTCGACACTCGACCCACATTTGCTGAAGAAATATCGGCCAGTATCAAATCTGACCTTGTTCCAAAGTTCTGGAGAAGGTTGTTAAACAGCAGTTCCTTAGCCATTTAGAAAAATTTCAACTCCTTGAGGATTTCCAGTCAGCTTATTGCGTTGGTCTCAGCACTGAAGCAGCCCTTTTATGTGTCCTGGATGCCATAAAATTATTTGTTGATTCAGGAAATTTCGGAGAGTTGGTCCTTTTGGATTTATCATCAGCTTTCGATACTATTGATAACGGCAACCTACTGGATCGACTCTCATCAAACTTTGGATTAACTAGATCCATTCCAAAATGGTGCCTATCTTATCTCACTGGACAATAATTTCAGTATGTTAAAGTTAACAGCTCATCATCAAGTCATCAACAGCTATCATGCGGTGTCTCCTAAGGATCCGTTTTGGGACCCATAATCTTCACAATGTAGATGAAGACTTTGGATGAACTAATTCATGATCACAATTTGCTGTATCTATATTTAGAAATCATTTGGATCCAGAACTTTTCGATACAGTGCGTCTATTGTGTGGACTGTGGAAAATATCCAACAATGTGATTCTGGTTATTTAGTCACTACCATTAACTTTTTCTAGCGCTAAGTGCATTCCCTAGTGGATTGAATAGTTGTGCGATACAAATATTATTATTATTAAAACTGTGCTGGGATATTCAGTCACACCGACTTGATCCTTTGACTCGCATGCAGAAATTTGTTAGAGATGTGTATATTCGTTGCCTAATAACGTTATGTTTTTATTTGCAGGGACTCGGTAAGTCGAAGAGCACACCATGTTCCTTCGGTGCGTGTAGTATCCATTGGTTGCCATGGCATCTTTAACGGAAGGATGAACATGTTGAACTCAAATTGAGTTCTGCGCGGTTTAAGTGTTTACATTTCTTATATTTACAGATTAATTGAAGACTGGTAGTGAGTGGTATTTACTGATCGTGTGTTCTTCAGTACAACTGGTGATCACAGGATAGTGTGTTTGGTTCTTGGATTGTGTGTTAAAAACCCAGGATAGTGTGATTGATCGACGATTACGTGATTTACCTTTGTATGTTTGATTGGCCATGGGATGGTGTGATTGAATCACTGTTATCGCCACCCGTGAAAAGAATGATGATGAAAAGAAGCAACGATTGAAAGAGTTTTGAATTGTGTGTTGTGTATAGATGTTTGTCGTTTAACTATCCTATTGCATGAACATGTAAAAACCAGCCTTAATTCACAAACGATAACTCGCCACTGAAAAGACGGTTTAGACTCAAGGAGTTGCAAATATAAATTCTTGAAACCCTGGCACTCATGAAATAACCCCCATCTCCATCCCCACTCTTCTATAAATAATAATCTAAAATGTGAAATGACAAAAAGCGTACTTATGAAATATTAGTAAACCCAAAGTAGTCCTAAATCTAATTTTTCAAAATGGTAGTTTTAGCCGAATACTCCGATTTAATTGCGGTTCATAAAACTATTGAAAAAATCGCCATTATAAAGGGCTCTGTTATAAATGATAATATTAATTCTGTTAAGAATAATGACGGTGAGTTAAGTTTAGAACAAATTGTAGGGATAGCCATAACAGCGGTGATGGTACCTTTTATTTTGTTAAGTAATATTTTAGTTATCGTGGCGGTCAAAAGATTCAAAAGACTGCAAATTCCAACTAATTATTTTCTTGTTTCTCTTTCGGCAGCGGATATTTTTATAGCATTGGTCATACCATTTTTTATGGCGGTAGAAGTTTTGCAAGGTGACATCCGCAATGTCTATATTTGTCTGTCACCTAATAGAGTATTAGTGATGGCGTGTGGCGTGTCCATCTTGACATTGGCGATTGTTGCCTACGATAGATACACGGCATTGTTGCAGCCTTTAGAATATATCAACATAATGACGGTAAGAAAAATTGTTTCGCTCGTTGCCCTTTCCTGGGCTTATTCGGCTGCTATATCTTGGCTACCCCTTTTTGTAGATTGGCATGATGGCATAGATCAATATAACGTTTGTTCGTTTAAGCTTCTCTATAGTAATGCACACATACTATTTTTAGGTGTTGTATTTGGTCCGGCTTGTGTGGTAATCTTCTTCTGCTATTCGCGGATATACGCGGTTGCCAAGTACCACGCCCGTGCCATAGCGGCGGTGGAAACTTCCATCCGACATAACCTAGAACTAAGCTACATCATGAAAGACACTAAGTGTGCTAAGACATTGGGGTTGGTGATAGGTGTATTCTTGTGCTTGTGGTTGCCATATTTAGCTTTTCTTGTGATTGATATGTGGTTAGAGCAACCGGTGAATGAGTGGCTGAGGAACTACCTGGCTTTACTGGCATTCCTTAACAGCGGTCTGAATCCCTGGGTTTATGCCTTTAAAAATAATGAATTTAGAGCAGCTTTTAGGCGGATCATCAGAGAGCACTGCCTATATAGACTTTGTGAAAGCTCCGAGCGACGTTCTAGCACGGGATCGGACATCAGTATATTTCAGGGACCGGGTCATGCTCTCTCTAGAACAAACAGCCGAATGTTGGCACCAGATGTGTTCCAGACCAAAACCAAGATGGAAGACGTTCTACCAGCGTCGGACATTACGTTATACCGACATTTCTTGCCGATGCCTAAAGTCAATCCTCACAGTCTGTTTCCCAGCCTTGTCAAACCACCTGTATCGAGGATATTGGAAAACACTGTGATTGCTCATCGACCGGAGAACTGGTGGAAAGAGCACGACCAACAACATGCCGGAAAGGTAAAGATTGCTTAATTTGGAAAAGAAATGTTTTAACAAATATAGTTGACATGATTGTGTGTAATTCCTGCGTTTAACTTGGCTACAAGTAACCGTTAAGACACGGGTCTAATCATAGCACAATAAAACATTTGGAGCAACCACATCGATTCCATCGTCCTCTTTTATTTGTTCCGGTAACTCGAGCATGCCATCTTTAATGTATATTGAATGGAAATATAATCCGATTGGTCTCTTTTCAAATTTTGTGTGTTTGGTGAATCAGTCAACACGCAAAACCAAACTCTATAGTGCTCACGTAAATCAATTTTTATTTTAGAAATTCTTTTTTTCTTTTGTTGACTTTTATTAGTATAAATGTTTATTAATTTACTCTGTAGGACACTCAATTTCCGATTCCCTACAAAAAAACGTCCATTTTGAGGTCTATCTTTGTTACCAAATCCTTGTAAATATTGGCTAGCTTCATATCTATTATTTTGCTTTGCTCATTTTCATGTTGATTTGCTATCTCTCTCTTTGATATATAAACACAGTTCATTATTTACTTGGTATATATATATATATATAATTAAACTGCTAAGTTCATACAAATTTACTTAATATGATTACTTCAGGAGCTAAGCGTAAAACTTACATAATTTAATGTAGAAAAACCTTTTTGATATTGACATTTAATTATCTTGCTTTTTAATATTTTTTCGCATTTTAAATTCCAGATTCCCTAATGTCAGCTCAGAAGTGTTCCGAATTGTCTAATTAGTTTTTGTGTTATCTTTTTTTTTGTTTTCAGATAACGAAAATTAATAAACGCGCCGTTTTGCTGCGCGCGCAAACATGTTTTGAACTACACGATCCTCATATCGTATCTTTAGATTAAATATTTATCAGTCTAATAATCGCTCAACTTGTTGCCTATAATATTAGAAAGATAAACGTTTGCAAATTGTTTCTCCATGCTTCTATCTAAGAGTTGATCAAAGGGCTCTTCACATTTCGTTTCACACCCTTTTCAAAACTGAACGATTGATAGAAGTGGCCGCATTGGCAAAGATCCTTTTCAGTTCTTTACATAATCTTTACCTTTGGTATGTGTTATAGAACAATGTTCGTGTCCACCAATATTACATATGTGATAGAACTGCTTAAACACATTACAAATATAATTCTAAGATATAGATCTTTGCTACGGTTGATCCGTAACAAAGATTTGAAGAATCGAGAAGTGACGCAAAAAAACATTTATTGTTACTGGCTGAAATTAAGTGCGGTAAGGGGTACACAGACGATTAAAATTTTATTTGGAATGTGTTTTGCCAGTTGTATCACATGTGTAATATTTGTAGACACCAACAAGGTACAATACGCAGTAGACCTAGTGGATTCTACATTGCAACTATACACACAGAACGTATAATGTGGACGTATATTGTCGTTGCATGTTTCTGCCCATCCGTTAATATTTTGTTAAGTTGTAGTTGTTGATAGGAAGAAGTTCAGATAAAACTTCGTGATTATCCTATAGTTATCTTCAAATGAATTGTGTTTGGAGGGTGGAGTGGAGGCAATAGTCTTATCAAATCTTTCTGTTCTGTTATTTAAAGCTTAGTAACATGATACATGATACGATAATGAAAATTATTTTAAAAACTTTATGAAATTTTTTATTACGTCGGGATTAGATCCAAGACTCAGATCTCTTAAAATCCGAAATTTTTGTATGGATGACATAGCTTCGGATAATGTAGATATGAGGTTGCATGACAACCCAATATCCATTATTTTTTGTATGTGTAATAATATTTTATCAATTTTACAATTGTCTTTTTGTCTTTTTTTTCTAAGACATCTAAATCGTAATGGATGATACATGGTGAAATTCAAATAGATGATACATGGTGAAATTCAAATGAGTGATACATGGTGAAATTCAAATGAATGATACATGGTGAAATTCAAATGCATAATAATGGTGGAAATATGGTGGGCATGGCCGAGATGGCGGAACTTAAGCAAACGAGAAGAAAAGAGGTGGATATCAATTTAGTTGAAATTGATTATGAACATTTTAAGGCCATCTGAGACGTCAGTATGACTAAATGGACATTTTGCCTACATTTAATTTTAAGTGGGAAGGAGATGTAAAACATTTGTGTTTAACCTATGAAAGTATGTGCATGTTTGGACATCATAGAGAATTAAAACGGGTTAGTGATGAAGTACGCGTTACGCGCGAGAGAAACATTTTAAGCAGATGGAACTTCAAAATATCAATTGATTGAAAGTGTTTAAACTTTGTGTTTCCTTGTAATATTGGGGAACTGTGAATGTTTTATCAAAATGTAACCACGGATTGTGTACATGAATCTGCGAAGAGAAAGGAAGAGAATCATTCAAAATATTTTTAAATTGTATGACAAATTGTATTGTATTTATTTGTTTGAGATATGTATGTTATATAGTGTGTTTATCGTGTTTTTTCGTGTTTTATCTTGATAACAATTTGTGTTCTGAGTAGCGTCTTCAGTAATGTAAAATTATGAATACAAAATCTGTGTTTATTATTCACAATGTTAAGACACGCATATCAACCGGCTATTTAATCAACGGATTTTGTCTTAATGCCACTTGATAAATACGGACAAGGATTTCACATCACAACACGTCGCTCATTATAGATGGAAAACTAAGGCTATCGTCCCAATCCTATTTTTTTATGTTAGTTGTATTCTAGTTTTTACCAGAATCGTCCAAAGAATATTGCTTACCCAAGTGAGCGACAGAGACTGCTAATGTAGCCAAGGAACCAACCATATGTCGCAATCACTTGACATTGTGATGGTTGTCACCTTTATTCTACACACTGAAGACCTTGAACACATTTATTTGCAAATAGTTAATGTATTTCAAAGAGATTACAACAAATTATTTATTATACCTATGATGAACATAATTATCTTAAAGAAATGGAGCCTATTTGAATTAGCTCAAAATAAAGGTTTAAATCGCTTGATCTGATGTACTGTTTCGAATATTGACCGTGTCAGATCTGTTCGATGAAATTCACTAAGAAGGTAATAACCAGAAGTCAATCTGCTTACTAATTTTTTATTTTATTTTGGGATAACCTGTTGACAGGCTCAATATACAAACAATATACAAAAATCTAGAAAGATATAAACAAAACAACACTATTCGTCAAAAATTAACTATATTCTTTGAATACAAACAACCGAATAGTGATTATTGAACTGTCACACTAAAAATATGTACAGCTTTATTTTTCAATGTGTTCGTGATACATTATCATTGTTTGAAAATAAACAACAGTATCGACTCTAAATTTCTTCAAAACATTTATAACTATACAAGATTATGGAACTACATTGTAGGCTGGGTATAAATGTCATTGAACGGTCAAAACCCTTCAGTGTGGACATATACAATATAGTGTCACCAATGATCTGACCTCTGTTTGCCCCCCCCCCCCCACACACACCCTCTTTGTTATATGTTTCGGTAATCAATACCTTCTACGGTGATTAAATCCCACATTTCCACTCAGCCATAAACTTGCATCTTGTAGAGTTCGAGTGATTTTTTTTACCGAACCCATCCTGCTGTAAACATACTATAAGCAATAACATGTTAACCTCAAGTGCTTTTTACGATCCTCAAAGTTTTTGGTTATGGGTTCAACGCGGAAAGAATATTAATTCTCTTTGATTCCCTCGCTCCGTTCGTTTGACACATCCTTTTTTATTCGGATAAGCTAGAGATTTGGCTCCAGACAGTATCTGGTCAGCTCTATTTATCTCGACGATCAGTGTCTGAAATACTGCCAGGCTACATTTCCGGCAGTCTATTTCTCAAAATATCCGTTCGTTTGACACGTTTCACGTTAATCAGATAAACTAGTGGTCAGGCGGCAGGCGTTATTTGGTCAGCTCTATTTATCTCGACAACTGTTGCTTGAAATACTGCCAGATTGCATTTCCGGCAGTCTGTTTTTCAAAAATGTCTAGGGCAGACCCGCTATACCCCTAGTTGAAGCTCGCGTCTTTGCCACCTTAACCTTAGACTTTGCCCCAGCTTTGCCCTTTCAATCAAAGACGGTTAACGCCGCCACTGAGTGTCACCCTGCAGTGCACACGTCAACGATCGTTTTATGAACGCGCTAGAGGTTACAGTGTTTAACGGATTTGGGTTTTTCAAAATTGATGTGAAGCACTGGGGTCACGAGAGGATGAACCGTATCGATTATCAGCGTTCCCCCACCTTCTTTTTCAGAGTTACCCCCCTCCCACCCCTTTTCCGTAAACCTTGCAAATGTAACAGGCGTCGGTCTTATAGGAATTCAAGCAAAGGTGACTCCTGTTCATACGATAGTTTTTTTCTCGGAATTTTAAACAAATGGCATACTCCTATGTGCCGTTTTTTGTTTTAAATTATAGCATCGAATTTAGTCCAAGAAGCTCTTAACATTTTCAAAAATTTGTTAAATATTTTGTATGTATATAATTTATTTGAATAAAACCGTTATATTTCTATTTGTTTTCTTCATTGGTCTTTAATGTAGATCTAAAGGTCTGCTTATGCGTAGTACATATAGATACCATAATTTTCGCAGGTTTTCATTTGATGTATCTGAAATCAAACGAAATATTTAGCATACTTCTTGTCTGCACCAACCGAGCTATTGAATGTCGTAATGTCGCGTAATAATGTCTTATTGGTGGGTTAAAATGTCGTCATGTCGGGTTGTCGTGGTGTCATGGTTATCGGCCATTTTTCTCTCAATGCTATGATCCTGGTGTTGTCGTGGTCAAGAAAGTTCCCCGGGATTTTGCAGCGCGGTTTCTCCGTGTCGGTAGTGCAGGTCAAAGGGCCTGGCAAAGAACAGTTTCTAGTATTGTAGATGGGACAAAAAAAAACTACTGTGTACACATTGGCGTGTACAGAAAAGAATCCGTCTATGTTGAAATTCGATGAAGAAATGCCACGGTCCATTGTCGCATTGAAAATTTCCGTCATATCACTCTGCATAGCGTATGTTCGATTGGTGCAGAAAAGTAGGAAAATGAAATGAAATGAAATGGGGTTTAACGTCCAACTGTTCTGCTCCGGACGCCACAGTGGCTAAGTGAGTAAGACCCTGGCTCGCTAGCCTGGAGGTTGCGGGTTCGCTTCCGGTGTTGGCCGAGAAAGTTCATCGACATTTCCGACGTGGTTTTCCCTTGTCAGGGGTGCAGGAAGGAGGGCCTAACAAGGATAGCTGTCTAGTCGTTCTGATGGGACGAAAAACCGAGGCAGTTGGAGTTCGATATAATAGTAGGCCGTAGCGTCGCTGTTCGGGCAAAATATCCCTCCATAACACACTGTATGGCGTGAGCTCATCTTCATTAGCCCTGTCGGAGCAAAACAGAAGGACGTTAAAAGCCATTTCATTTCATTTCATTTCATTTTTTTGCATACATTACTGATAATATTCAATGGTTGTAAAGTATAGTAAGTTAAGAAACTGGCATTTACTTATAATTACATCAGTAGAAGATTTAGTGTCTTTAAATCAAAATATACACTCAAAGCCATTAAAAACGCAATGCCAAATTCAAAGTTTATTTACTGCAACAAATGTACATAACAATCGACAAAATCGAGATAACAAGCATCTGTGAATAATGTCATGAAAGAATTCACTACAAATGCACAGAGAACCATGAAACAAAGCAGGGGTCAGCTGAAGTCAATATCGGGTATGTCCACCCTGAGCTCTTACATGTTGAGCCAGCAATGGAAGCAACACCTGACGAAGGATGGCCAAAGCGTCAACATAATGTTGAGCGTTGAGATTGCCTTGGACCACCACCAACTGGGACCGGAAATTGACGTTGATAGCGGCCCAAACCATGACGCCACCTCCTCCGAAACGATCCCTTTCCAGCATGCAGTTACGAGAAAAGCGTTTATGTCGACGTCGGTAGATACGGTGATGTCCATCAGGAAAACTGAGGTTGGATCGGGATTCATCCGAGAAGATGACATTTCGCCATGGTGTGTTGTGCAGATACCCCTAATTTGCGGCCCGTTGCTGTCTGGCAAGTCGATGGCGATGCAAAGGGATTTGACCTTGGTAAGGTCGACGGCAGCTTAACCCAAGAGCAGCCAGGCGCCTTCGGACTGTTTGAGGGCTGATCTGACGTTGCCGTGTTCCAACAGTTCCCCTGACAGTAGCATTAACTGTTGCGCAGATGCTGTAGTCGGATGTTGTTACAGCTGGCGCTCCAGGTCGGGGTCGATTGGCAACTCTTCCAGTGGCGTGGAAGCGTTGTCTGAGGCGAGCAATGGTCGATGGGTGAACATTAAAGTGTCTGGCGACGGCTATCTGTAAAGCCCCCTGATTCAGCATGCCAATAGCTATGTTCCTGTTTTCTTGTGTAAGGCATGGCATAGATAGAATACATAGATAGAAAAACTGCCATGTCAGTCCAGTGACGAGGAAATGCGTCTATTTGTTTCACCATGACTCGGTCTATCTCGTAACCTTGGTCATTTCGTCCTACTCGGACTGGGCTAGTGAAGACAGACATACCCTATACAGTGTACTATGAGGTAAACTTTGTCCGGATAGCGGCGCTACGGCCTACTCTTATTTTGAATTCCAACTGTCAGGGGCTCTTTTACGTGAAATTCCGTGTCCATGGAAGTTGATACTGGCTGCTCTGTTACCTTAATGGGTGAACAGAAAGTATCAGAACTACTGGTTGGAGTGGATTTGAAACCAAGTAAAGTTAAGCTCAAGTCGTATACTGGTGATTTAATTCCAGTGGACGTATACTGGTGATTTAATTCCAGTGGACGTCAGCGTGTTAGATCGTCAGAAGCAACTACGCCTTATAATTGTAAAAGGTCGTGGACACCCCTTATTAGGAACAGTGTGGATTAGGAACTTACTTACCTTTAGATCTAGGAGTTATCGCTGGCAGTAGTACAGATTCCGATTGTTTCGAGTAACAAAGTTAAATTAACCCTAAAAGATGTTTTAAAACGTTACATAGAAGTATTTTCTGGAGGTTTAGGCAAGCTTAAAGGTGTTGCAATTCATATTCGTGTTGATAAAACTCCAGGTTCAAAGTTTTATAAACCAAGGTCAGTACACTGCACAATGAAACGGGAGACTGGAGACGAACTGGACTGATTACTTCCGGATTTAGTGATAGAACATGTTAAATTCTTCAAATGGGCAGCCCCAATAGTTCCGGTATTGAAAGGTGGCCATACTATTAGAATTTGTGGTGACTACAAGTTGACAGTTAATCAGTTTATTTCTGTTGAACAGTACCCAATTCCGAAATTTGAAGATTTGTGGGAAAAGTTAGCTGGTGAGGTAACTTTCACAAAGTTAGACTTAACTCATGCTTATCAACAGTTGGTATTGCATGAAGAGTCGAGGGAATATGAAACAATAGACACGCATAAAGGACTGTTCCGATATACTAGGTTACGGTGTCTCTTCACCACCCTCTATATTCCAACAGACGATGGAAAACTTGTTAGGTGATATACCTCACACTGCGGTTTACCGGATGATATACTTAGTACAGGAGAGACCGAGGAAGATCAACTCGCTAATGTTGATGCAGTGCTCACAAGGTTAAAGGAAGCCAATATGCGTCTTAAGAAAGAAAAATGTAGTTTCCAATTGTCGCGAGTTAGCTATTTGGGATATTGTATCGATCCATCTGGCATTCATCCTATGGAACAGAAGATTAAAGAAATAAGGATGCCCCTAGACAGAATTACAAGATTCTACAGTTCTGAGACCACATATTGATAAAAGATGTAAGATGGAAATGGAATAAAACTCATCATGTTGCATTTGGACGGTCAAAAGAGATGTTGTTGAGTTCTAATTTCCTAATTCACTATATGATCCAAGCAAACCCTTGAAACTTACGTGTGACGCTTCACCATATGGACTTGGTTCGGTATTAGATCATATTATGCCTGATGGTAGTGCACAACCTATTATGTTTGCTTCAAGAAGTCTTAACTTCTGCTGAAAAAAACTATAGATAAAAAAGGTTGTGGGTTGATATTTGGTATGAAGAAATTTCACAAGTATATATAATATGGTAGAAGTGTAACATTAATTACTGATCATAAACCGTTGCTATCCTTATTCAGTGAGAAGAAGGCGGTTCCTCAGATGGTATCTCCGCGAGTTCAACGCTGGAAAGTTTGGCTACGCGCTTATAACTATAATATTATTTATAAGTCAGGAAGCGCAATAGCAAGCGCTGATGGATTAAGTCGGGTAACGTTACCTACACAAACTCCAAATGAAGATGATGAAACTGATTTTGTATTGTTGACCGGGTCTATAGGGAAAAAAACCTGTTAATGCTAAACAGATTGCTACATGGACATCACATCAATCAGTTTTGTCACGGGTTCGTCAGTTTGTACTAAAAGGATGGCCTAATAATGTGGATGATTCTTTCAAACCTGATTGTCTTTTGTGGGGCGCAAGAGTAGTAATAGCGCCAAATGGACGTAAAATAATTCTAGACGAACTACATACAACACACTGGTGTCAATAAGATAACATATTTAGCACGTACTTATGTATGGTGGCCGGATCTAGACTTGGTTGTAGAAAATTGTGCAAAGAGTTGTGTGACGTGTCAAGCTCATAGGAACAATTCTGCAATTGCACCAATGCACCCATGGGACTGACCTTCTGACCCTTGGTTTCGTCTTCATATTGATTACGTGGGATCAGTGGAGGTGAAGATGATATTAGTGGCAGTTGACGCACATTCGAAGTGGATAGAAGCGTTAGTTTGCAGTACAAATTCATCAAAAGTAACAATTACTAAACTCAGTAGTATCTTTGCAACGCATGGTTTACCAAAAGCAGTTGTCTCTGACAATAGTTCGTGTTTTACTAGTGAAGAGTTTAAGACTTTCCTATGTAAAAACGGGGTTCATCAGTTATTCAGTTCACCCTATCACCCCAGTTGTAATGGTTTAGCAGAACCTGCAGTAGAAACTGTGATGGATTGGTTAAAGAAGAATAAACAAAGTACACTAGATGACAGATTAAATAGACTTTTATTTACATATCGCATATCTTACATGCCGCAGAGTTACTTATGAAACGTCAGTTAAGATCTCGTCTTGATTGTGTGTTTCCACTTAAAGTTCAACAAGAACAAGAGAGTCAAATTAAGTCACATGATAAGAAGGTTAAGTTTCGAAACTTTCAAGTCGATGATCGCGTTAGTGTAAAAAATTATGGTTATGGACCTAAATGGATATCTGCGAGAATTGTTAAAGTTACAGGTCCGTTATCGTATCAGATTCAGACAACAGATGGAAGAGTCACGAGACGTCATATTGATCAGATATTGTTACGTCATGCATCTGATGATGAAGTTGTTGATTCAGTGGTAGATATGGATATTCCAATGGATATTCCAATGGATATACCTGTGCTAAATGTACATCTATTGCCTGTTGTTCATCATGATGTTATTCCAGATGATGGGTCACGTTTTCCTGCTCGTGTTAGGAAACCACCTGCTTACGTAAAGTTTAGTAACTTTATGTTCTTCTGTGTTTAAAGACTTTTTTTGTGGTTTCTAGGTGAAATTGATCTGTTTAGTTTTTTTTAAGATTACGTTTAATCTTATGAGGAAATGTAATAAACAAGGACTTCAACAAGAGTTCCCTCCCTTATACTATACTATGCACTGTGTTTTATATTGTCATAATAAATAGAGGGCGCTTGGCATTAGTATTGCCATTGATAATACTTGATCTTTGTAGCCTACGATCTGGAAAATATCTTTCCGTGTTTATACTCACAATTCTAACCCCAACCCTTCAGAATAGTTTTACCCATATTCCACCGTTTTTACAGCTTCAATTTGTACTTTTGACATGTTATTTGTAAACCTAACCAGAACCCGAGCCCTAACCCTAGGGAAAGATATTTTCCAGGTGTTTGGGCCTTATAATTACTTTTTAACTTATGTCTGTCACCACTCAACTACCCGACAAAGCCTCTATGACGTTAACTTTAAGGCTTTCAGGGAGCGGGGTATATTAAGGAACGGGTCACAGAATGCTGAATATCGATAGGGTTCGTCCTCTCATCGTCCCATATTTAAAAAAAAATACGGACAAAGAGGGTTACTCTGGAACAGAATTTTGTGGAGTACTGAAAATCGACAGGCCCAAGTGCTTCACACCACATTTGAAAAACAAAATCGGTTAAAAACAGTAGCCTTTATTGCGTTAACAAGGTTTTCGGGAAAGGGGGTGGGGGGAAACTCCAGAACTACTAGGTGGGCTAAACATCGATAGGGGCCTTCCTCTCATGGCGCCAATGCTTCACACCAAAATTGAAACAAATCCGTTAAAAAATGTGGGCTCTATCGTGCTATTAGGGATTAAACTCCGAAACGACAGGTCGTGGGGCGCTGAGAATAAGTTAAAAACTACGCGCACACATAATAATATTTGAGATCTTGAAAAATGTATCACAGGATAGCAGGATCTCCTACCAAAGAAATAAAACCAAGTTAGCAAATATAAAGTTTAGCATTATATTTTTTGAGTTGACAATAGAGTCTCTCAATCGGCACCTCATATCACTCGACCAGTCGACCGAGTATTTTAGGCTATCGTATATGACACTGTGTCTCTTTCTTGTATCATGGCCTGTCCGGTTCAAAACATTGGTTGTTGATTTTATGGTTGCTACAAATTTTAGGTTTGATAATTTCAAATTGTTGTATTTAAAATAAAAGAAGAAAAAAAACTAGAAAATGCGCATTGGTTCGCTCAACGCCCAATATTGGTGTATATGCCTACTTCATATCACTCGACCAGTCGACCGAGTATTTTAGGCTATCGTATATGACACTGTCTCTTTCTTGTATCATGGCCTCTCCGGTTCAACACATTGGTAGTTGATTTTATGGTTGCTACAAATTTTAGGTTTGATAATTTCAAATTGCTGTATTTAAAATAAAAGAAGAAAAAAAAAAATAGAAAATGCGCATTGGTTCGCTCAACGCCCGATATTGGTGTATATGCCTACTTTATGGACCAGCGTGTGAGAATAGATTGTTAACGATACATTATGTAAGATTTAGATAAAGAGCTAGCCATTCTTGCTATAATAGTTCGAAAATAGATAATACAAAATGAATATATTGAAAATTTCATTCAAATTTCTCTATTGTGAGCGAAGATATATATTAGCCTTTGAAGGTTTGACAAGATGTGTTCATTAATTGTAACCACCGCGTACTGATTGTTTGAAGCTAAACCTCGCTTCTCCATTTTTAAATTAAATCAAAATATGGCTGAACCGTTCTAATATCGGAGATATCCGATGGCATCGAGACTTCATTATCTTGTCATGTTAAAGGACAATATTGGTGTCGGTCATTATCACATATGTGATAGAACTGGTTAAACACGTTCCAAATATAATTTTAACACAGAATTCTTTGCTACGATAGATGCGTTATGGAGATTTCAAGAAAGGGAGGTGACGAAGGCAAAAGGAAAACACGATATATCCTTCTATATAACTGACTGAAGTGACGAGTGATAACAGATACACGGGCGAATTTCTGCTCACTAATAATTCCTTCGAAGATTAAAAGTTGTTATGTGAGGCTGTGAGAGAATCTGACAATTCAAAAAAGTAATTGAATGTCACTAAATAAGGGAAAACGAAAAAATAGAAATAATCCGCACATTCCCTTGTTTTTATTCATTCTATACTTAATAAAAACATGGGAATGCCCGGACTTTTTTTTTATTTTTCTCGTTTTCGCTTATCTATAGTGACAGTCAATTATTTTTCTGAATTGTCAGGTATCCTCCCACAGTCTCATATAATAACTTTTGGTCTTCGAAGGAATTATTAGTGAGCAGAAATTCGCCCGTGTATTTGTTATCACTCGTCACTTAGTCAGTTATAAAAAGAAGGATAACTCGTATTTTCCTTTTGCGTTCATCATCTTGAAATCTTCATAACGCATCTATCGTAGCAATAATCTCTGTGTTAGAATTATATTTGGAACGTGTTTAACCAGTTCTATCACATATGTGATAATGACGCCAATATTGTCTTTTAATATTGTCAAATTAAAATTAATACCGGGTAGTTTATAATTATAGCCTATACTATAGTATTTCAGGTCTATCTTAAGGAAGATCGGCAGATTTAACTCTTGCATAATAATGCATGTTTAATATTAACTTTTGGCCGCTAAATACAAAAACGGGGCTGTGTGTTTGGAGGTTGTCTAATACAAAACCCGACTTTCGCAAAGACTTCAGATTATGCCGCATTTTTGCGCCCGTGTAAAATCGCGCTATCTAATGGCAGAAGGGAGGCAACTACACGTCTTTTAAATAGAGTTATTTACCTTACACTAGAAGAAAAACAATAATATAGTCTTGATTGTCAAAACACATATCCACAGATGGCGCTTTTCCGGAAGTGATTGGACTCGATCTATGTGGAAATCTACAATGTCAAAATTATTTACATTTCTTGTTTACTTAATTGAAGCCATGGGTTAAGAGGTTGGTTTTGTGTATAAGATTTTTTAAAAATTTGTTGTTAATGCTCAATGAAATAGTCCGTAAGCATCCCTAAAGTTTTATGACCCTCTGAGGAAAGCACCTGCTTTTCTGCAGAAAGACCAAGAAGAACGGAGCAGGGCGTCTCCAGTTCGCCGTCTCTACATAAATAAGGTTCGACAGCTGTTAGGCATTACGACCTATTTTGTTAAAATGCAAATGATAGTAGCATAATGATTAATGCTTTCAAAAATGTGTCAATTGTGATAAACTATTTCAAAATTAAACCAGTTGAGTAGTCCTGACGTAAGCTAGTCAATTTTGTTTTTCACAGTGAATCAGCCATGAGGCGAAGACTGAACTTATTTTTTTACAATTGTGTCTGATAGTAATTTGTGAAAAAAAATAATTGTCATTGTTGAATTAAGATATAAATCCGTTCTGTATTTGAATTTAACAATTATAATGGTTGATGGTATTTGCTTTTTAGTAAGACTGACTAACATTTTCAAGGGTAAGCTTGTTTTAAAGCTCTGACATACATTTAATCAAATTAATGGCATAGATATCTGAATTTTGTTTTTTATATATTTTCAGCCAGTTTATATTAAATTAATGATGGCAGTGTTGTAACTGAAAGAAACTCAAACAATAACAACCAAAGATGTCTAATTTCATTCCTATGGTTTCAGAATCTCCACCTCCCTTGGATGAGAAGACATTTGACTGGGGGGAGGATGAGGAAGATTTTGGAACATTTACTGGTGCTGACGATAGTGCATCAGAAATAAATATATCCAATAATGAATATGATTCCGATTATATCAATGATAATGTTAGTACAAACAAAAAAAATGGCAAACCAGTGTTAAATCATCATATAGGTTCTGATAAAAGTGACAATTTTGCCGACTTCAAATCATTCAACGAAAGTAAAATTCATACTGTGTCAAAACCACAAGTACAAAAATTACCTCTGACAAAAGATGATCATATCAATAATGGTAACGGTGTAGAGAACACTGATTCCAATCTCGATGGAACTGTTCTTCCAGGGGGCATGAAACGTGATTCTGATTCTGGGATGTTTAGCACAGATATTTCCCCTATTCCAGTGTCTGAGGAGGGAACTATTGAGTTAAATAATTGTGATAAAACTGTTGATTCCATCGATGATGATGAAACGGACGTGGTACCTGAATTACCAACCGATACTAATGTGAATGATGAGAATATAATCAGCGTTCAACAATCACCACCAGAATTAAACTCAGATGTTGTACACACAGATCAAAGTCTTTGCTCAAAAGAAGAAAACACGGGTAGTACAATACCTGTATCTTCAGTGAATGTTAAATCTAAGGCATCAGTTGATAACTTAGTTGATTCGGACGAGGAATTTGATCAGTACAGCTCTCAAGCTTTGCATTCCATATCGAAAGAGGCAGCTCATTCCTCAATCCTTTATAGTCATTCTGTTGACAAGCCAGAAAATATCACTCAAAATAACACATTAGAAACTGATGATAATTTTGTAGACTTTGCTGATTTCTCAGATAAAACAATAAAATCTTCAAATTGGAAAAGTTCTGATAACAAAAGTAATTCTGTGATTTCAAATAATGAGGTAGAAATGGAACTACCTTCAGATAGTGATACAAATTCTGAGTGTATAACCCAGAGTAAGCCTGTGGAAGTGATAGATACTGACAAAACCAGAGACAATACTGCCGATAGTGTACCACCATTGAAGCTAAAAGCGCTGGAAATAAGTTCAGAAGATGATGATACATCAACGACAGTGAACAATGTAAATATCAATCACAGTGAAGAAATTGACGACCAGAATAGTTTTGTTAATGACAATATAGAAAAACCAGAAGAAAGTAAAATTGTTAATAATGAAAATTCAAATGATGATGAGGATGATGAATTTGCTGATTTTAGTAAAGCAAATGAAACAGAATCACTGTCAGTTGACAACTCAAATGAGAACGATGAGATAAAAGATAGTGAAAACTCTGCACAAGAAGATGATTTTACAGAATTTAGTAGTGTTCAGAATGATGTCAGTGATAATAATTCAAATATTCAGACAGGTGATATTGTTACTTCTGTTGTCAGTAATGATGATGATGATGATTTTGCAGATTTTAGCTCTGTGTCGTTTTCAGCAAAATCAGTTGATAATGATCAGCCCCAATCGAATGATTGTGAAAAAGTGGTTGATAATAACAATGATGATGATGATTTTGCAGATTTTAGCTCGGCAACACAACCTACAGTTGAAAACAATAAAACTGTATCCAATGATGGTGATGATGATGAATTTGCAGATTTTAGTTCTGTGACATTGCCTAACAAATCACAGAATAATGATGATGATTTTGCAGAATTTAGTAGTGCGAATATTAATTCTGGTAGTGCCGTAAAGTCAGACTCAATAAAACCTATGTCTGTTAATTATGAGGAGGAAGACGACGATGATTTCGCAACACAACCTACAGTTGAAAACAATAAAACTGTATCCAATGATGATGATGATGAATTTGCAGATTTTAGTTCTGTGACATTACCTAACAAATCACAGAATGATGATGATTTTGCAGAATTTAGTAGGCCGAATATTAATTCTGGTAGTGCCGTAAAGTTAGACTCAATAAAACCTATGTCTGATAATTATGAGGAGGAGGATGACGATGATTTCGCAGACTTTAGTGGCGCGAATGTTGAAAATCAGAGTCTAACAAAATTTGAAGATAAAAAGGATAATTTTGCATCATTTGATCAAGCTAAAGTTGTAGATGAGGAAGATGATTGGGGAAAATTTGATGAAGATGATGACTTTGATACAGGTGTTACTAAGCAACAAGTTTATAAACAACCGGAAGCAGTAAAATCACAGGTACTGATATCCGTTATCTTTTGATTGGATAAGACTACATAAGAGCATAGAAATCTTACTGCATGAACAGAATAATTTACAAATTTAATTATTATTTCAGCTAAGTAGCCATACATGTATGACTGTAGTATGAATTTCTGGCTACTTAGATTGAGATTTTCAACCATCACTGATGGGTATTATAAAATTGTTAACAAATTATTTTCCAACAAAATTTACCTAAGTCCAAATCTTATTAATTATTTTTATTATGTCAACCGTTCCTTCCTAAATTCAAGTTTTGACTACAAGGAATTTTAATATAGACAAATTAGAGTCCATTGTATTTATTCTAGTACATGTAATTGGCTGTCTGGTCTGGCTGCTGGAGTAATGGATGTACATGTATACACAATGATCACTGTTTTATCCTGAGCAACACTGCTACTGCTAGTCAAATCAGAGACATTATAATAATAATAATCACTTTATTTCAAAAGGGTAGAATATTAGGCCTGGGGTCTTTCTTACATTTTGCCCTTTTAACAACATAAGCATGCATAAAATCCGGAACAAATGTTTTACATAACGATAATGAATATACATGTATTAGATGTTCTGTTTGATAAATGTGAAAATTATTTACTCTATGAGACTGAGAGGTACAGAATTGGTTGGAGTAAATGAAACTTAATAATTTGCCGGTTGTTTTCATTGTGTTTTTATGTTTGTTACAGGTGAATGTAGTAGTACAGATAGATAAATTAAAGACTGTATTACATGCATGTTTTAATACTAATGATGATAATATAGTGAAGAATCAGGACATATCTTTATTAGAAAGTTTATTGGTTGGTTCTATATATCAACAACCTACTCATATCAATAATGGGTATGTAAATTTACAAGTCTCTTTAGGCCTATGTATATATACATTAATCTATTTGTAAATGTATTTGGCCTGCTTTTAAAGCTACGTACATGTACATGTATATAGCCAATGTGTACATTCATGTACACATAAAAATCTAGTGTCACATGTATATATACATTAATCTATTTGTAAATGTATTTGGCCTGCTTTTAAAGCTACGTACATGTACATGTATATATCCAATGTGTACATACATGTACACATAAAAATCTAGTGTCACATGTGATTAATGGAAAATAGGTTATACATGTAAACTTGTGCAACTGTATGATATGAAGTATGAAGAATTCAGATAATTAGGAGAAAATAACATGATTTAAACATTCACAATTGAGGTTGAAAATATAGGAAACAAGCGAATAAATGCCTTCATAACAGTTGAGGTATTAGCTATCCATGGGCATTAATAGGTACAAATGTACATGTATAATACATTAATGGGGAGTAAACATACTGCAAGAATTTATACTTTATTTTACACATCTGCCTGAATAGACAAGTAAAAATCTTCAATATTGAAATACCAGTTCATGTACATAATTACTGATGCTTCCTTTAATTTCCTGAACAATCAAATAAACATCTAAGGATTGTTATACTTATACTGCTATCTGCATGCTGTTCAGTATATTAAGTAGTGTATCCTGAATCCTTAATTAATATGACCTTTTATAAGGTGTGTTGTGTACATACAATGTAGAATAGTGAAATATAGTTATTTATGATCAGACTATGATTTATATTTATTTCATAAACAATATGATTTATATTAACACAGAACTCTATTGATTGACATTATTGATCTGTCTTACTGTATGTTCAAGTACAGTACAGATAATAAACCAATATTATTATTTGTTAAACACATGCTACCAGTCAGACTTATAGTTAATGATTTAAAAATATCTTTTGATTTTTAACATGACATATATACTGAGATGTAATGAAAATCAACTACCTTTACATTGTATAAATGGATGATTGTAAATCTCTTTTGAGAGATGCACTTATAATTCTGAATGCAACAACAAACAAAAAGAATGTTATGCAATACAGAAGATGAAAATGTTGATAGTAATAAAAAGTTTGAAAGGGTGTTAAGCAATAAGCTTACATTCACATTACTTTACTAATGAAAATTAAGTTAAAATAAAAGAGTGATAAATTTGATGTATTAAATGAGCCTTGACAGAGTTTTTATTGTTGACACCAGTAACCAGGCACATATACATATATTACATGTACATATCGAAGATTGAATCAACACTTTTTTTAACACTAAATCATAACCCTTATTTGAAAAACCCTTTCTAATGTGAATGGTAAGTTCTCTTTTACCAGTAGGCCTATTATTTACTCATTTAAAATTGTTTTTTCAGCCAAAATTCAGAAAAGAAAGTTTTGAAACAGATTTATGACTATGATAATACCAATGCCTTAATTTATCAATGGAAAAAATCCCACAGCAATGATCATTTATTCAAAACTCTGAACATAGACACACAGAATATGGTAAGAAAATGAGAAACAATATTGATTGGATTCATTATTTGTTTGTAATGTAGTTACAGTTTGTTGTTCTCATATTTACACTACTTTCTAATCTATGACAATTGTATGTACATCAGCCTGTCATACTACATTATGTACATGTATAACACAAAAAGCCATCAGATCCACTCTTATAAGTCATATAATTGTAGTTTGAAAGTCCCATCCATCACCACAAAATGAAGCCATGTATCCTATTACAGATCATTTAATTGGCCAAAGAAAATATGTCAGATGTCCATGTAGCTCAATATAAAAAAAAATAAAACGAAATGTACCTGACACCTGAATGTTGTCATATTATGTGTGGTTTAATGGTTGAGAGCAAGACATTGTGTAATTTATTGAAACAACATCTCGGGACTGACATCTTAAGCTTGAGACCATTAAACAACTTAAAAAAATACAAATACTCGCACATTTATTTTATCATATCCCAGAATTGATTTTTTTTCCCTAGCCTTAATGAAGCTTTCAGCAAGAGTGCTTTTCACCTTATACTACCAGGTATCGGTGAAAGCTTTGATTTGGTGCTATATTTGTTCAATTTGATTGTATGTAATTACATCTTCTCTTTATAAAACATATTATTTATTATTAGGCTTAATGTGTACTGTATTGTATATTATGTAAGTCTGCAATTTTATTTGCAAAAATCTCCTGGTGTTAGTTTTCTTACTTTGTATTATCCAAAAATAAGAGACAGGAACCAAACCAAACAGTGATGGTGACACTGGGTTAAACTTAATTTCAGTAATATGATTTATAATTGTATATTTCAGTTCTTTGGTTTAAAGAAACAAAGTGTACCATTATCTGTAACTAGTCTAACTATACTGGAACCTATTCGTGGAGCTATTGATAGTAAAAAAGATAAAAATATTGCAGCATTAGTTGAACCTAATAATACAGAATCCATCCCTCCACTTCAGGTATAATTATAAAATGAGACAACTTCTTATTCTTTTTTAAGTGCTCTTCTCTTTTTAAAAGCCCCCAACAAAACTATCTCTAGAAATGGTATTTGAGGCTATTTGTTAAAGCAGTAAACAGAAGCTTTTATTTAAAATCTTGTAATATAGTATTACTATTCGTACTTCTTATGAGCCAAAGGTTTGACCATTTCTAGATAATACTGAAATTCTAGAAATCCTAATACCTAATTTTCTGCAGTAAAGATTGATATTACTACATCCATTCTTTTCTACAAATACTTTTCTATAAATATTACAACCAGTTAAAATTATGAAATTATTGCTAAACAAACAACTATTTTGATATACCTTTTCTAACTATATATTTTTACTATTAATGTTGTAATGTAATTGTTGTTTTATTAATACATTTTCTAATTCTGCACGTTAACACTAATTTTTCTTTTTTCTATATGTACTAATCTCATTTTTTGATGCTTTTTGTAGTTTTATTCATTCATTGTACAATCTAACTCAATCGGATTATCCTACCTTTATCTGTTATTAACTACAAATGGATTAACAAAATAGATAAGAATTCCAATAGAACTATAATACGCACAGTTGAAATTTATTATAATTGCTTTTATATCTTGATTATATTAATATCAGTCTTGTTTCCTGCATGCTTGACTTAAAAGCAGAAATAAATTCCTGGATATTATTTAACCAAACTTTATATAGTAGAGCTCTATATTTTCGAATTTTGATAATTTGATAATGCATGAACAACATTTTTTCCAATGTAAATTATTTTAGATATTTAGAAATTTATTTGTAATGCTTATCCTTCAGACTTTATTTATTCATAACATAAAATTATATGTTAAACGGATAGGACCTCTTAGATTGCATCAAAAATAAAAGTGTCAATTTGAGTAAATTTTATGTCTTGATTTGCCTTGTAATTTTATATCCTTTGGTAAACCTGAATTTGAGATATAACTGATTTTGTTTTATCACTCAATGATTGTTTTGTTCACTAGTTGACCCTTTAATTAAAAAAATGAAACAAAATTTTTATAACAGACCAAGTTATTTAATTGTACAGAGCTAGGCTTGTTACTAATTGAAGCATTAGATCATCCCAGTTCAACAATTTATTTTGACTTGAATCAAAGAGGTTTAGTCCCCTAAGTATTTGTGGCTCTGTATATTATTGTAGGATATGCCTCCGGTTGAGTTTGACTGGGACAATAGCGGTCTCACTAATCCTCTAGAAGGTAGGCTCTTTTACACCTTTTTATACACATAAGATTTTATAGTAATAAATGGCACGCTTCATTTATCATGAGTGATGCAGTGATCATGAGTTTAGTAGAATTAACTTATAGATGCACAATGATTCTCAGAAATCCTTGGCTCCCTCAAAAATTTATTTGCAATACTCATTGGGTAAATCTCAGATTTTGACAATGTACATGTGTAAATGCAAAACTACAGATGATTATTGGTATGGGGTAATGTTTGCAAAACAATAATATTAGATACCCAGAAGCTGCAATGTCAAATTGACAATGTATGAATATATGAAAGATACTAAACTTGTAGAGACTACATGTATGGGGAAAAATATTAAGCCATTCTTAATTGACCCATTTAGATTTTAACCCTCCTAAATTCATTTCATTTTACATACATTGAGTTGGTCACTGAAAACCATGATATCTAATAGAAAAACTAAATGCAAGGTGTAAGGAAATGATATTAACAAAGCTCCCAATATAGTCATTATATCTAAAATTAAATCTACTAATCGAGTTATGTCAGTAAAGACCATTTTATGGAGGATATTTGAGAATTTTAAATTGGTGTTGCTTCTCATTATTTTCATGTAAAATGGGGTCCCAGGCTGTTTTAATCTTACTAAAGACTTCAAATTATGTTGCTGGACAGGTGACCCTACTCTCGTCACGTACAACCGGGGAATCGAAAGCACGCCAGTTCTGATTAAATAACAGATTCTATTTCGTTTTGTTTTTTAAAGTTCAAAATTTGAATTGCTTGTCTTCACTACACCAGGATCTGTTAAATAACCCACTTTCTGGGTGATGTAAAGGATTAGCCAATCATATGGTCTGTTGATTCATGTTCTTATCGTGTGCCACACAGAACTGTGGGTAAACATTCTCAGTGAAAGAAAACAAAACAAATCAAAATTTGTATTTCCAAATAGCCACTTGAAACACCAAAGTTGATTGGTTAATGGAATGACTGTAATAATGGTTTGACCCCTGATACGAACTCCCACAACAAACTGTCAGATCTTAATGTAGGGGAGGCCATCTAAGTATAAAGAAAATGAAACGAAATATAGATCTGTTGTTTCAAGTAACTTATAAAAGAACCATAATGTGACAACCTTTGTGGACTACTCGGATGATTTACTGCCGCGTGTGTAAGTTTCATAACCTGGTAGCCTATCTTCTGTCCAATCAAAATCTTGCGATTTGTTAAGAATGTTAAGTTGTTTTTTTACTTATCAAGCTATCTCTTGTAGAATAGACAGAATCTTTCATGTTATGGTAATAGATGTGTATCAAATTGACAGAAACTATTAATACCCTTTCAAACAAAGCCAATAGATGTCAGGTTGAAGATATAGTACCAGATTAATATTTACAGAGGACAAATTACACAGCTGTAGACTTCTCCTTATCAAAAATTAAGTCAATAACAGATGAGGAAACAGATCTGAATGTTTTTCTGCTGGTTTTTTTTTTCAATTTTACATGTATATGCCCACATTGAAATGTGCTTGCATATTGCCCTCTACTCGTCCGTCCACACTTCCTTGTGGAAGCTCTAAGCCTAGGGACTAAAGTTATCATCAGATTGACTTCAGGGGTGTTATTCGTGAGATAATAAATTCAAAACCTATTGATTTTAAGCAATTTCTTATAGAGTTATTGCCCTTGACTATTTTGAAAAAGCTTGTGGATGCTCAAGAGGCTAGAGTTATCATCCTATTGACTTGACATTTATACACAGTATTTACTTGCTCAGTTACGGCTCATGATCAATTTGAAAAATTTTGTTGGCTGGACGCTAAAATTATTTAAACACAATGGTTATGTTAATGATGCTGCGGGCGTATGTTTCTTGGCCTGGCAACTTGTCCTTGGTTTTTTTATGTACACATTGAAATAGGTCATTTTTATTTCATCACATATTTTACTGTTTCAGCAAAAACTCTGGATCTAGATTTTATGGTGTTACAAGAAAATGAAAACAGTATAAAAACTGGAGGTAATTGAAATTTTTTGCACATTTACTGTTGTTTTTATGGTCCAAACAGCGATCTAAACTAGGTGAATATCTAGGTGGGAGAGAAAGCAGGAGTCAGATAAACGGAAAATGACTCAACGTCTTTGACTTGGGTCCAGTTGATAATATTAGCTGTTGGTTTCATTGGATTTTATATGATAATATATATTGTGGGATATGTCATTGTTGAAATTTTACATCTAAGGGATTGTTGAAATATAACGAATTTTGTGTCCACAGTACAACTTAACTTCTGATTAAATTAAAAGTTTTATTATATGGGCTTCAATACTATATTTTGACCTAAATCAAAGAGGTTTATCTCCTTTAATGGATGAAATGTAACATAAAAGAAGTTACAAGGCTGTGACCCCAATGGCTTCCATTTATTGACAATTTGCCTCCCTAGTTTATTTTTCCCCAGCATACGCGAGGATACATATTTGATCACAGTTACAAGTTTAGAATACCTTCCTTACCGTGTATTATGAAGTATAGAATTCCCACTTTTTCCATGCATTATAAAGTTAGAATTTGTCCCTAAACATTAGAATGTGTCAGAACTCAGTCAAATGAGCCAGTTACTCTACACACTCCTGGGATTAGTAGACGAAATTGCCATAGGCTTATTATATTGAAAACGTATGATGTTTCAAGAATTGACATAAAGCTTCCTTCCATGTATACATTTGTAAATTCTAATCAGATCCTTGCAGGAATTTATTTTGTGTCAAACTGCAAGCGTGGATCCGCCCCCCACCCCCATTTTTTGCAGTGGCGAATCGGGCTTCGCACTCCCAAGTGGGGGCTGCACGCCCCTCACTTTCTGAAAATCCTGAATCTGCCCCTGAACTGTTATGTCAGAGGTTGAAAAAAATTTGAAGAGGTTAGAAAAGCTTTATTTCTATACAGAATTATTAAATGTGTTACAAAATTGCATGAAACCATAGTACAAGTTGGTAATAGAATTATTTATCATCCATCCATCCTTACTAATGATATTTAGATCATCTATCCTACCATAATAAAATATTGCATGACCAGTATTGTCAATTTCTAATTAAAGAAATGTATAGACAGACAAATTGTAATAATATAATATTTTTACCTTCCCTATATACTATAATCAGATGAATGGGATTGGGGTAAGATTTTTATTTTGCAGAATATTTTTAGTTTTTAAATGTATGCATGTATTATCTTTCTTTTTTTCCATGTGTTTTACATCTGTCAAATTTGATTATGTTTCCCTTTTATTTTTTCTTCACTTGAATTGTTTTGAGTTTGTTTTGGTGGCTTATGTCGTCACTTCTGTCCAGTGTCGGGGCGGCATAAACAAATTACATTTTAGCTTCCTTAGAACTGCTGTTGTGACTTAAGCAAATTTCATATCTAGTTTGTGTAGGGGGTGGACAAGCCGGGAGTCTTTGATCGTGACGAGGAGTAGGATTATCTCTCCATCTCTCCAACCTCATGGGTTTTCTCTGGGTCCTTCAATTTTTATACGCCCACATTTTCATGTGGACGTATATTGTCGTCGCCCCTGTCTGTCCGTCCACAATTTGTTTGTGGATTCTCTACAGGTCACAATTCTTGTCCGATTTTGATGAAACTTGAAATATAGGTTTATCCCCAAAAGATCTCGGCTGCTTTCGATATTGGCATGTATCAGATCGAAACTTCATGGATTATGGCCCCTGTTTGTACGAAAAAAAATCACGTTTTTAGCTTGTGGACCCTATAGAGGTCACAATTTTTATACGCCCACATTTTCACGTGGACGTATTATGCCGTCGCCCCTGTCCTTCCGGACGTCCGTCTGTCCGTCCGTCCGTCCACAATTGTTTGTGGACTCTCTACAGGTCACAATTCTTATCCGATTTCGACGAAACTTGAAATATAGGTTTATCCCCAAAAGATCTCGGCTGCTTTCGATATTGGCATGTATCGGATCGAAACTTCATGGATTATGGCCCCTGTTTGTACGAAAAATCATGTTTTTAGCTTGTGGACCCTATACAGTAACTTCCTGAATTATGGCCCCTGATTGTACGAAAAATCACGTTTTTAGCTTGTGGACCCTATAGAAGTCATAATTTTTATCCGATTTAAAAAACTGTTCTATTATATCACCGTTACACCCTAAGGATGACTGAGTTCGAATTTCGTGAAAATCGGCCCAAAATTGACAGACAAAATGGCCGCCGTTCGTTCCCAAATAGCGTAAGAATATGGTATATCAAGGTTGTGGACCCTATAGGGGTCACAATTTTTATCCGATTTTGTTGAAACTTGAAATATAAGTTTATAACCCAAAGATCTCAGTTCCTTTCTATATTTGCCCATATCGGACCGTAACTTCCTGAATTATGGCCCCTGATTGTACGAAAAATCATGTTTTTAGCTTGTGGACCCATTAGACGTCATAATTTTTATCCGATTTAAAAAAACGTATTATTATATTACCGTTCCACCCTAAGGACAGTTGAGTATGAATTTTGTGAAAATCGCCCCAAAATTGACAGACAAAATGGCCGCCGTTCGTTCTCAAATAGCGTAAAAATATGGTATATCAAAGTTGTGGACCCTATAGAGGTCACAATTTTTATCCGATTTTGTTGAAACTTGAAATGTAAGTTTATAACACAAAGATCTCAGTTCCTTTCGATATATGCGCATATCGAATTGTAATTTCCTGAATTATGGCCCTTGATTGTAGGAAAAATCACTTTCTTGTTAGCTTGTTCTCTATCCATCTCTCGAAAATGTGGGCGTATCCTGCCTGGCAGCTGCTGGTTATCCGATTTTGTTGAAACTTGAAATGTAAGTTTATAACCCAAAGATCTCAGTTCCTTTCGATATTCGCGCATATCGGACCGTAACTTCTTGAATTACGGCCCCTGATTGTACGAAAAATCACGTTTTTAGCTTGTGAACCCTATAGAGGTCATAATTTGTATCCGATTTAAAAAAACGTATTATTGTATCACCGTTACACCCTAAGGAAGGTTGACTTCGAATTTCGTGAAAATCGGACCAAAATTGCCAGACAAAATGGACGCCGTTTGTACACGAATAGTGTAAAATATGGTAAATCAAGGTTGCGGACCCTGTATAGGTCACAATTTTATTTCGATTTTGATGAAACTTGAAATATAGGTTTATCCCCAAAAGATCTTGGCTGCTTTCGATATTGGCATGTATCGAATAGTAACTTCCTGAATTATGGCCCCTGATTGTACGCAAAATCATCTTTTTTAGCTTGTGGTCCCTCTGGAGGTCACAATTATTATTCAATTTAAAACAATGTGTGATTATATCACCGTTACACCGTAATGAAGGTTGAGTTCGAATTTCGTGAAAATCGGACCAAAATTGCCGGACAAAATGGACGCTGCTTGTACTCAAATAGTGTAAAAATATAGTATATCAAGGTTGTGGACCCTGTAGAGGTCGCAATTTTAATTCAATTTTGATGAAACTTGAAATGCATGTTTATAACCTAAAGATCTTGGCTCCTTTCAATATTGTCGCATATCGGATCGTAACGTCCTGAATTATGGCCCCTGATTATACGAAAAAAACATCTTTTTTAGCTAGTGGTCCCTCTGAAGCTCACAGTTATTATCTGATTTTAAAAATCTCTTGAATGTATCCCCGTAACACCATAATAAAGGTTGAGTTCAAATTTTCTGAAAATCAAACCAAAACTGCCGGACAAAATGGCTGCCGCTTGTACGCGAAAGGTGTAAAAATATGGTATATCAAGTTTGCGGACCCTGTAGAGGTCACAATTTTAATCCGATTTTGATGAAACTTGAAATGCATGTTTATAACCCAAAGATCTTGGTTCCTTTCGATATTTGCACATATCGAATTGTAACTTCATGAATTATGGCCCTTGATTGTAGGAAAAATCACTTTCTTTTTAGCTTGTTCTCTATCCATCTCTCGAAAATGTGGCCGTATCCTGCCTGGCAGCTGCTGGTCTCACATAGCTAAAAACCCCTACGCACAAGCCAATTATTGAAAAAAAATTAAACCATATGTTAGTCCCGAAATGACCTAATTTGTGTCTAGTGGACATTAAACTCTCTCTCTTGAAATATAATTGAACCATATGTTAGTCCCGAAATGACCTAATTTGTGTCTAGTGGACATTAAATGCTCTCTCTCTCTCTCGATTGGTGTAAGTTATGAAGTTCATGGTCATTCAAGTTTTGACTTTTATCCTTTTTTGTGGAACATGATCCATACTTGAGGAACATCCCCTTTGTTCTTTGTTGGCACATTGGGTGATTTGCAATTTTCTATTTTGTCACTGAAAATTGTCCAGGTCAGGTTTAGGTTCATTTAACGTATTTATATAAATTATAATGTCCGATTCAAAGCATTAATGCATATTACAATTTAAAAACAACATCTATATATATATATACATTGTAAATGATAAGTCAATTGTCTTACATGTGTTGAAGAAGATTGCAGTGATTAAAAGACTTGGAACATATAGGCATTCATATTCTAAACATAGCTATATCCATTTAATGTACTGCAGTAAGTGCAAGGGGACCACACAACACATAAACAATTACACAAGACAAATCCATGGACATTACAAACAATAATATATATATCAGCTCAAGTGAATGGATCTGGGCGGCTAGCCGTAAGTATCCACTGCACTGTACAGACTTAACTCAAAATGAAAACAAACTAACGATAAGGAAAACAATCCAAGAAAAAGGGGTAGTTTGCTTTTATAAACTGGTATGTAGTTATGTAATGTAAAACCAGTGAATTATTGAGATTTGTTTATGCCATATTGGATACAATCTTATGTTTAGTATTGTATTTGTATTTTTCTCTTAATCTAAATGTTTTTTCTTCTGACTTTTAAAATATTTTAATTTATTATATTCAGTGTACACACCACATGCATTTCTTTGTGTAGTTTGTTTTTATGTAGATATAATTTGGGTCATGACTGTTTGTAACAGTATATGTATATTAATACATACTGGTAATGTTAATTATAGAATTATGTTAATTTAGATTATATCGTACATACTGAACTGTTATAATGTAGGTCTTCGTGAACTAGTATAAATAATACTTGAATAACAAACGTCATTAGATGATATCTTTATGTGTCTATGAAAATATAACTGAATTATATACACAACAAAATAACTAACTTTTGGATTAGACAAGTCATTTAAAAACACAAAAAGCCAATATTTGGAATGTGAAACACTTATTGAAAATATATTATTGCAATACACATTATATCCATGGCTTCCGGCAATTTCAGAAAAATGTTTTCATATGTTACATGTGTATAAAAATATTTAATAAAAACAGTATGCAGGGACAATAGTTCATACTGTTTATTATCATGATTTATTTTCTCCAGTATTTGAGTATAAAGATAGTTTGTAATAATCCTTCCAGGAAAAGTACCCTGATTATGTTTAATGTTTATGTTATAAAAAATTTATTTTTATTTTTTTCCAGTTTTCCAGTCTGAATTATTAGATGCACCTAGGTCGTCTGTGAAACCCATGCAGCCTCTTGAAGAAATCTTAAAGAATATGAAACTAACGACAACCACTGCTCCGACCACAGTCGCTAAAGATGAAAATCTTTCTAAAGAGGCAGACACAATTATAAACTCTCTACCTCTGCTTTCTTTTATGAAGTCAAAGGTTTTAATGTTCAGATTGCAAAACTCATAAACAAAATAACAAAAATTCCCACAATTAACTTTTAATTCCCTCATATTTGTTTTGTGTGGTGATGGGGGAGGGGAGAGCCATAGATTATCTTTAAAGATAAAACTCAATAAGGTTTGAAAGGAACAGTTCCAGGTTTTATAAAAGGTAACAATATAGTTGGTTTACATTGTCTAAAAATTCTGAATCAAAATATTGTACTGTTCTTAAATCGACACTAGATTTTCTTAACAGGGTTGTGTAATCCATTAAACGAAGCATGTAGTTTACAGATCTCATTCGTACATGTATATCAGCTGATCTTAATCCAATTTGTGTGGAAAATCTGGTTCCGTTCACATACAAATTTTATGTTACTGCTTCATTGAGAAATATGAACATACAAGCCAGTTATTAGATCTCATATTATAGTAAGAATTGTGACCTATAGTACAAATCTTGTACAGTGTGGTTCAATTCTTGTTTATTTTTGGTTTGATTTTCTTAATGTGAGCAGCCTAATTTTGAAAATAAGTTCTTTATTTAACCTGTAAACACTACCCATTCATTATCTATTTCGTTCAGTTTAGTTTAAAGTTAGAATAGAAGTGTCTTTTTTTTACTGTATCATAAAATACTCAGTTATTTTACTAGATCTAGGAAATAACCACAATACAAGTTATTTGAAATGATATATTTAGTTACCCGTTTACCACCTATTGACTGTGTCATGTAATATTCTTGCCTACAAAATGACAAATGGTGACATTTGAGCTCAGTAAACTATTGATTCAGATATCAATGTTTAAATAAAAATAACAGTGTGCTGCTCTTATTTCATAATAAAACAACTCAGTATTATGGTTTAGAATACATCTGTCCCATATTTCAATGACAGACAATTTACAGGTTGCAGGAGACATGATGGTTTTCTAACATTTGTATGCTCATGTTAGTCTTTAAATATATGACTGTTTATATTTTTAATTAAAATTATGATTAAGTTACATTTCAAGATCTGGGTTTAGTGAGAATCACTATCTTGGAAAGAAATCAGTGTCCTTTTTGTAAACCAAGTAATTACAATGTATTAAAACACCATTTAAAATTTATGGAAATCTGTGAGCATTTAAAACAATATCTGGGTATGATGTGGGATAATTTTAGAATAAGTGCACTTGTTAATTGTTTGTGGTCACAGAGTCGATATGGATTAACAATGTACATGTATATTTACAGTGTTGTATTAAATATGTATATATGTTATTAATGAAAGAAAGAGATTGTATGTATTAGGATATATTTATGTTGTATTTTGATATAAATTATATAGTTCATATCCCAGAGTATATCTATAAAACTAGACCATAGTAACACTGTTAACAAGAAATGTATAGTTTGATCAAATGAATATGGGTACAGATATCAGGGGAAAAGAAGCTGATTTCTAGGAGCTAAAAGTTTTTGAGTTAGGTCAAAATAAAGTATTGATTTGGGTTAATCGAAGTTTCATTTCTGGCTGACTGGTTATATCTCAACACTGGCTTTAAATATAGATATCAAACTTTAAATGAAGACTGATTATCATTCCACAAAACAAATCAACTTTTTAAATCCAATGAAATCGACAATTTACGTCAATTAAATCTAGACTAGTTTTGATTCCCTGCTTGTATATGACAAGGAGTAGGATCGCCTTTCCAACCTCGTGGGTTTTCTTTGGGTCTTCCAGTTTCTCCCCTATTGCTAAAGACCCCTGCACACAAGCAAATTAATGAAATAAAATTGAACCATATGTTAGTCCCGAAATGACCTAGTTTGTGTCAAGTGGGCGTTAAACCCCATTTCTCTCTCTCATTCTGAACTGAGTTATGTCCATTTGTAGAACAGTGTAGTCCCAATTGTCATGGCTACCATTGTTACGATAATAAACTAAGTCTCGATTATTCATTTTTTAATTAAATTATTAACTGGCAATTGTGTTGAAAATCAAAACTATCCGATGGTGTAGAGAGTTGACTATGAACTTAGCATGTGGATAAATGTCTAAATAATAAATTATATAACATTTGAGGCCAAACGAAAGATCTGAATTAGGCAGATTTAGCTCTTACATTACATCTTTATATAATTAAAATGTATTACACTTCATGATTTTCTATTGAATAATAGGAATTGGGTGTCAAATGGTTTCAGTGTTGAGGTCTTACACGTTTAGCTCATCTTTTTTTTAAAATTATGTTTTAATCTAATCGTTTTGACATTTTGCTTTTTTCTGAACACTTAATCAGATTTAAATATGAATATAAAGAAAATTGTGTAATCCATCCAATTTAAATATTACTGTATATTGTGTAATGTTATATATTTAAATTATTATATATGTCTATTATATAATGTTATATTAACAATTAAAAGATGTTAATATATTATACTTGATTCCTCTATGTTATGTTTTGTGCAATAGTAGGTTGTGTAGATATGGTGCAAATATAGGTATAGATATATCATATTGTTATTATTACATATGTCATACTCTGTGTGTATATATATTGTCTAAATTCGTTACAATGCTTTAAGTATTCTCAGATTAATAGATTGATGGTTTTTTTAAAGATACATTCCCGCGTACAAACTGGGTGATTTGATGATATATTTGGCCTAAAAACATATTCAAACTAATTAATTTATCATAAATTTGCTTCAATTCCTTCTGAAAACATTGTAATTGTCATGGAATACCCATGCTATAAAAAAATCGATCAAAAGAGGTCATGTTTGTGTCGGAGGAGAATTCATTGCATACACAAGACGATGTTGTCTTTGGATTATCCACTGCCCGCGTCTTTTTCCGTGATTTTTATCTCAGAAAGTGTTGTACGTCTAACTCTTCATAAAGTTTATCAACATGTACATCAAGCACTCAATCTCAGCGTGCAACCTTTGACGTTAAGCGTGCAGATATTCCTAATCGTCGGGCTGTCGATTAGGGCAACCCTGACATTTTTGTCCTGTACGCTCCATGAGTGTTTTTCAGGGAATCCAGTATTTTTCTAGTAAGATTGGATATCTCTACTTTCCATATATACAAAATTGCCATACCTTTATTGGAAATAACCACCCGATAAATACTTTTCTGGGAACCTTCTTTAAATCATTATAAACTATAATCCATTGGTTTTATAAAACATTCAACAGGTAATTTCTTTAAAAAAAAAATCATTAGGAAATTCTTAATGAATCTGGATTTTGAATGGTTAAATTAAATTACTATTTTTTTACATTTATGCTGTTCACAATTTGAATTTCAATAGACTTTTTAAAAAAAAATAGTAATATAATTTAACCATTCAAAATCCAGATTCATTGTTTTTTTTAAAGAGAATTAAACAATATTGCTTCAAGTATTCACATGCACATTTTATTTTTTAGATAATGTTAATACTGGGGATCATTATTTATTTGTAAGTGAATTAATTATTTGTACAGGGTCATTGAAATCTTATTTATATAATGGTTGCACCAAGTTTCTATCACAAGCGAATCATTAATTTAAATGTTCAGTGACAACATTATTGAAAGTGAAATTTACAGTGTCAAAACATGAGCTAAATTTAAGATTAAAATTGATGATCCGTTAAACAACTATTCTTTAAGATCTTAAATTAGGATATAATTTTTAGTTGTTAAATATTTTATTAGTCTGTATATAATGTAATTGTTAGAAAGTGTATATTATGCTGAAATTGTTAAACTTTATATAGATTATATCTTTAATGTAGAGGTTGTGTGTATATAATCTATGGTCATTTTACTGTTTTATTTTAATTCTAGACATACTTTACTAGTCAGTGGATTGTTTTACTGACTAGCCTACATTATAAACAGAGTAAAGTTATATGTTAGAAGTCACCTGTGATTTTTATGTAGTGTTAATGACAGTACTATTTAAACTTTGAGGGAATTGATATTCAAATTCTTCATGTACAATGGATTAATTAAATCTTAAAGTTCCTCCACTTTCAAATAATGAATGTCTTGTTATATTATGGATCTTGTGATTAGTCTATGATCCGTCAGTACATTTACCTATACAGATCTACATATTCTTAAAAGAATTTTTCTTCCTCTTATCATTAAGATAATACAACTCATGGCTTTAGTTTGGAAAATCACCCCTTGACTTAATTAGGCATAATTATAACAAAATTTCAGAATTTTATATTGAAAGAGCAGTAATTACATTTATTTAAGACACAACAAGCCAGATTGTTCACATATATATTATTTCAAAAGTGAAAAATACTAATACTGGTCATATATTTACTGCCATATTTGGAAGAAGAAAAATTTAGGGCAGAAAGTTTGATATTTTGAAATAGATGAGTTGGGTTTTTTTCACACCTGAAATGCTATAGAATATATAGAATTTATTATTTATGTTAAGACAGTTATCAAAAAGAATATATTTCTGTGAAAGTTTCATCTTATTATGTTAAATACACTGTTATACATTTTAGCTTTTGTTCACAAGATCTTGCTTTAATAAAACAAAATTAGCATTCCATGTTAAAATAAATATTGAAATTTGATGTGTCCTTAGTTTTCTTTTAAAGGATAATGTACTTAACGTTAGGAACAAAGATCCTTATGAATTCTCCCTCTGGCTGCACCTTCAGAAAACTTATTACTGCTACATTATGTTAAAGATACCTTGCCATGTACAAACTGGGGTTTTTTCAAACCCCTCTCAACATTTTAATCACAAAGAATTCCCCCAGAAATCTATTTTAAGTAGCCATATTCAAACTAGAGGGCTGGCTGAAAAGTTCTAAGACTATCTGTGAAAGACCTGTACAAAGTCCATGGTTTCCATTTATTTGTTTATATAGTCCCCTTCAAGGCGATGGCCTACACACTTTTGCCAATCATGTGGCAAGGCCTGGATGCCAATTTGGAAGAAATTTTAAGCCACCCTTAAAAAGTCATCATTACTAGGAAAATGACCACTGGCTAGTTCCTTTTTCTTTTCTGTAAACAGGTCTCATCCATGGTTACAGATCTGTCCAAAGGATCTGCTTCAAAACGGCACAGATTGTCACCCATCTTGAAGAAACTTTTGTCATTCCTAATTTATTGGCGATAATGTGCTCAACCCTCTCATGAGAAATGCCCACAGCACTGGCGATATTTCGATTGGTCAATCGTGGAGCAGCCATCACCATGTCATACAACCGGGTAAAGTGCTCCTTAGTGATACTCTTGCTTTTTTCCTGTGCATGGTACAGGTAATCAATTATGTTTCTAGTAATATTGGATGTTTCTACTTATTTACCATACTTATAGTGGAAATAACTGCCCAATAAATTCTTTCGTGGGAATGCATCTTTAAGTTACAAAATAACTGAAAGATATTTGTGAATATTTAGCAGGACAGTGTGACTTTCACAAAATTAATTGGTACTGTACTATTCAATCTTGTTCGCCATTTCAAATAGATGCACAGTAGACTTAATTATAATGACCACTAAATCTTTGAGCAAATGATAAAGTTTGTCCAAAAATGTTCTCATTCTAAGGAATAACTGAACATGGTATTTTAGGACAAAAAAAACAAGAGAAAAAGTATTTATGATTTATTTTAAGACAAAAACATAGTGTAACAGACAATCATTCATCATGAAAAAAGCCATTACAAAGTGGAGTATACAGTGTCAAATACCTATTCTAAATCCAGCCATATTATTTATCCACAGATCTGATGTAACAATACACAGGCTAAATTACAATGAATATTTGAATTTTATTTGTTATATTGTAATTTTTTTTACTAAATTGTGCTATGAAGTTACCATAAAACCAAGATAAAAACCTACTTTAAAAAATTCTAATTGTTTAATCTTTGATACAGAAAGGATATTATAGTGGCCTAATAGCATTTAGTGGATGGATTCTATGCTAAAGCATTGTTTAAGCATACAACAAACTACCTGAGAAAGCATTTATACCACACATTATTGTACAGTTACAATCTAAACCACCACATTTAAATCTTAACATTACTATTGCTTCAACTCCCCAAACTCACACCTTCAACATAGATTGAACATTTGCATTATCAATTCTAAAGTGTCATATATAATTAAATATTTTTTTTTTATTAAGAAAGATGTTACTGTAATTTAGGATATTCACAAACAATGGGTACATTTCAAAACAAATATTTAATATTTTTTGTTATGACCTTTGTGTCCCTAAAGGAGCAGTCTCCAATACATTCTTGTAAATAGAACTGGTTAAGTGAAATACTCTTAGAAAAATTTATCCTAGTTCTACATTTATCCAACCGTTCAATATTATAATTTGGAAGATATTCTTCAAATTTTGGCATTAAATTTTTATTTTACATATGATGTCCTAAAAAATGAAGGACTGCCCCTTTAATATCAAACAATTAAAATATAGCATAATATACTGGTACTAGAATTTTCTATTTGCCCTGCCCATTCATCATATATATATATATCATACTGTATATGATTACTGTCTGTTTAACTATTTTGTCTGTTGTTTTCATTAATGGGATAAGACAGAAATGTTTCATCCTGAACAAAATTTACAACTATTTACACAACTAATGAATAATAGCAAAGTTAGTTATCCCCTGTTTTGTTTTTTTATCTCATGTAAGGTAAACCAACAGAACATAAAGCACATCAGAATTAAAACTGTGAATGCGAAAACTAACCATCATTGCTATCCCTAGTTACCTGAATGGAATTCGAATAAAACTAAATCTAAAAAATTTATTTATGTATTCCACATACCGAAGGGCAATGAATGCAAGTTAGCAAAAACACATTGCCCATTAATACTAATTTCGTAGTTATAGTGGAGTTATAGTAGTTAAATGTATTGAGCAGACTGTTTTGTTCATTTGTTACTAGTTAATTTATTTTTAGAAATTGCATCACCTCCGCCCTCATACAGTTTGCAATTAATTCTGCCATTTAGACAGAAACTTGCTTCTTATTTTAATAGAGAGATATGTATTTTAATTGTAATTAACTTGAAAGCTTGCAGCTTATTAAATATTACTCTCCTATGAAAAACAAAGATAATATATTACACAAATCTATATATACAATATAAAACATCCAATGAATATAATATATACAATAATATACATTTACATCATTCTTTATATAAATAAATAAAATACCACCATCTTTAGTCTTCTCAAAGAAACACAATATACGAGAAAACAGAAATTCTTCATACCTTTAATTCCTTATTTACTTTACCGGGCTAAAAATGCAGCAGTAACCAGATTTAGTTAAACAAATGCACATTTAGACAATTTCATAGGTAAGGTTAAAAGATTCACAAGACCTTTCAGTTTAATGCTACGTTTAAAAGGGTAAAAGGGTAAAGGGTTACACTGACTGTTCATTTTATGAATTTATTTATTTTAGATTATGCTGTATTCGTTACATATCATTCTCATCACATGAGTTCGCAGGTTGAATATCCTTGAAGAATTCTGAAGACTGATGGCTTAGAATTACGAAATATTAATTGATAACTATTTTTTAAACGAGATAGAGAAAGTTAGTCGACATCACAAGGATGTTGATATTCAAATGACAAAATAACTTGATGGTGTCCATCTTAAAATATAGAGATGGAAATGAATGAATCCCAAGCCGGAAAGCCCCAATTCCTGTAAAAGTAACGAATACAGCACAAGTTACTGCTGGAAATATATATATATATATATATAATAATAATATGAAATTATCACACTGTATATTACATGCTGGTAATTTCAATTTTTAAACGAACCAAACGGTATTCACACTGTGTATATTGTATTTAAATCATCTATATAATCTAACAATCTTATAAAAATCAAAAATACTACATTGCATACAAAAAGAGACAAAATCCAGTATTTAATTATAAATTGTACTTAACGTAAGAAAAATAAAATTAAGAATATAACAAACTGCATCAAAGAACACAAATATTCTAACATAACAAACTAACCAAATGGTAAAATTTGAATGTGAAATTTGTTTCCACGAAGTTTATGAAAAATGAATAAATGTAACAATATAACTAAAATGAAATTGTGTAGTGAATACACAGTGTCATTCTTTGTGTTTATTTTTTTTCAAAGAGAAATATCTTTGATGGGCATCCAAAACATATAAATTATGATTAATAAAAATCAATTTGAAGAAATACACCATCATGCTAATTATGAAACAAACACCATTAAAAATTATAAAGTTTGAAAATGATATGTATACAGTATTTGTACATAAAATGTCACTTCCAGCTGAAATAATCAGGAATAATTCAGGAATTTATAGAAAATTAAACAATGGCAAGAGAAATTCATTTTGATTTTAATCAAATCAAGTCATCAATTATTGTCTACCCCCCTCAGAATTGATTTTATGTTAGTTATATCATAGTCCAAAACCCCTTAGACAAACAATAATTTAAAGGACCTGGAGGCAATGCACCACGTACCTTTAATTATATTTGGCCGTAATCTGTTGTATTCAGTTTAATCCTTGGCAGTGGTTGGGTGGCCAAGTGATTCAACCGTGTGTGCTTTAGATCATCAGGTCTGCCATAAGAAAAGTGTTGTGGCACTTCCATCTAATGCTTGTATATGATAAGGAGTAAAGTTGCCTGCAGGACCCCATGGGTTTTTTCTGGATTCTCCACTTTCCTCTTATTCCTAAAAATCTGCTTGCAAGTGATTATTGAAAGTAAGATATACCATATGTTAGTCCTGAAATGATCTAGTTTGGTGTAAGTTAAACCCCATTTCTTTCTTATTCATTACCTTTCCAATAAATCATAAAATTGAATCTCTTAAAATTAGTTAGTTTTTGTGATATCACTATCTGAAGATACTACTAGTTGTAAATCGACGAGACTATGTGACTGATTAGAACAAACAATGTGACCAGAATTCTGACCTAATTTAATCTGACAACAAACTATCACCCTGTATCCAATTAAAAACACTTTTTAAACTACCTAAAATATGACCAAATTCAAAATATTTAATGCAATGGTAAGCTAATGGTATTCTTTCAATTCATTTTAAATTTGAAGTTGTTGGAACATATTCAAAATCATGGAGGTCCTATTACCCTTGAATTGCTCTTAAAGTTACATAGGCTAGGTAAGTTGGACCTTTTTATTAATAGGTTAATAGTATTCTTTCAATAAATTTGAAGCTTAAAAGAAATAAATTCATTGGGGCATGTATTTATTATAAATACACAAATTGAATCAGAAACTTCAAACATAACAAATATTATAAAACAATCAACATGAATGAATATATGTATAGATTAATTATAAAAAAAGCCAGTTAGTATTCGCACTACAAACATGTAGTATAAACTTGTGTGAAAAATATACACGCAATCCACAGGGTTGACTGTTAATTAATTTCCAGTATATATATATTAATATATTATATTTGTCAAGTATATTTTATATTTTACATATCTTGTCAAGGGATAATAATACAATTTAAATAATGTTAGTTAAAAGGATGGAAATATTTGTAGAAAATTTCTAAACTTCTGTTGACTCTGTACTTTGAACGTTAACATAACATTTGCATTCCAATTAACTTTACAACCTATTAACCTCTATTCATACATGTTACATTTACAGGTCTAAAATCTTGGTTTATCTTTGGTTGATATTTGTCAGACACTTAAATATACATTATGCAAGAGCTAAATCTGCCAATCGCGGGTCTTTCTTTAGGACTGAAATGTTATCTAAATTATTAATAAGACATTAATTAACTTATCCAGACCATAATCAACTCTTGATGGCATCGCTAGCCTGCAATATTTATTGGATTAGGTTCCGATTTTCTGCTTTACTTTCATTCATGATTTAATCATGAAATGGATAATCAAGACTATTTTTTTATCATACCGACTTTAGTAATGATGATCGAGGCTAGGCTGAAAATTCAATCGCTAAAATTTTGGTTCAGAGTGGATCAATTTGACTGAAATTTTCAGTAAATTCCCTTTACATTATCTAGTTTTTAACTATTATAGTGAGAACTGCCAGCTCTTTATCTAATCTCCCATAATGTATCTTTAATATATAATATATATTCCACTATGTTTTAGTATTTAAACAGATTGTATCACAATTTCTTATCAATGTATTTATCATATTAGAGAGACAACAGGACAGAAAAAAGATAGATTATTACTGGATCCATCCTAAAGACAACATTCTAAAACACAATTGTGTTCAAATAAGTTGAAATTTGTTCATTCAAAACAGTTCTTATAACACTTGTCTTGATCATTTTGTCTTACATATCTGAGTATCATTTCTGAAATTGCATCTGCTTACATCATCACAAGAAGATTAGTTAACCTACATTTGTACTATGTTAAATAATACTCATTAGTACTTTTTGATCTATAAATAATTCGTATTGACCTTCAGTTTTTGTAAAACATTGTCAATAAATTTCTATCAGCCTAATGTCATGTTGTCCCTATTAGAGAGATGATGGTATAAGCAGACTGGTGATAATTAAGGTAATGATGTTGATTAAAAGGTAAAAAAGATCATTTTGATAATGTTTCTCAGACAATAATAATAAAACTATAAGATGTCATTTTATACACCAGTAAAAAAAGGAAAATATATAATAAGTAGATAGTTATATATATATATACTGGTTTGAATGTCATGGAATAGTATACCAAGTGTACTCAGCATGCACAATCTGGTCGACGGAGTTGCGGTTCTTTGTTTGTTCTGTTTAATCGTCTGAGAGAAGCATCACCATATTGTATTCCTGATCCCATTCTTTCTGGATCAAGTTCACCTATTCAAGAATAAAAGATGATGATGTTTCATTTTTATTATAATATTTCTATTTTTAAATGAAATAAATGGCCTAGTGCCTTTTTTACATATTGCTTTTGCATATAAGCTTTTAATCAATTGATTAGCAATAGAAACAGTATGGGTTATTATTATAATGGTTAATACATATCCATTTACCCAAAAGGCTTATAACTCATTTAAACAAAAAAAGAAGACAAAACTTACCTGCTTCAATTTTTGTCAAAATACACCGGGCACATTTGAGGAAGGTTTCTTCTACATTTTCCCCCGTTAATGCACTTGTTTCCAGAAACATTAATTCTACAATAAAAATACAGATGTCAATTGAATTAGAACAATACACAATCAATACAAATGTGTCATATTGATAGCTGTGTGAACTGGAAAGGGAAGTGGTACTGGGTGTTCTATTCTACTTCTAGGTAAAACATACTACTCTTTTGTGAAATGGATATCTAACATTACATTAAGCCAATACATGAGCTTATTCAACATAATAACTGTCAATGTTTCTTTGAACTGTAACCTAACATCCCCATAATATTAACTGTACAGCAGCAAGAAACTTTATGGTTTTTTTTTTTAGTTTGATTTCTGGGTACTTAAATGTCTAATTTTATTTGTGTTTAATACAATAGTAAACATGGAAGCCCAAACAAAACTAACATTGATACAACAATCAGACTTCCACTTATCTTTCAAACTCAAAACAAAATCATATAGCGCTTGACTCATCCTTAATCAAAATAACAACACTAATCAATTCTTTATTTACATCAAAATCCAACAAGTTAAATTTAAAGAGATATTCTTGGAGTTATTGTTGATAACACAAACTTACCATTTTCTTGAGCAAATCGACTGGCTTCTAAAAATGTCACTTCTCTATCAGCTTCCAGATCTTTTTTATTTCCCACTAATATTATTACTATATTAGGACTGGCCAATGTCCTAGCATCTGTCAACCAGTTAGTTAGGGCATTGTATGTTTCACGACTATAATATATAAAGTATAAAAGTTGAATATTAACTGTTTTAACAATTCAGTCATATTAAATGAAGGTTTAGTACAGTTTTGATAATTAGGTGTGTTTTGGGATGTTTTGAATAGATCACTATTGTCTTGTTGGAAGTATTAATTAATACTGGAAGTATTAATGCGATCTTCAGCAGATAAAACATTGATTTCGGTTCCAAGATATAATAAATTGCATGGAAAATACTCTTTACCAGTTCATGGTGCATATTTATGGAATGAGCTTCCTCAACAGATTATGTGCTTGACAATTCTATTTTCAAGTTTTAAGACAACACTAAAGACACATCTGTTTACCAAATATCTGTGCAAGAACAAATAGTTGGCCTCACTGTGAAGTGCTTAGAAATGACCAAGCGGTCATAATTTAGTGCTATATAAGACAATTTATTATTATTATTATTATCTTTAAAGGAGAATACTACCACAAAAAGTGGTTTTAATATGAACCAGCGGCTGCCAGACAGGATACGCCCACATTTTTCAAGGGATGGATAGAGAACAAGCTAAAAACAAATGCAATTTTTTGTACAATCAGGGGCAATAATCCAGAAAGTTATGGCCTGAAATGTGCAAATATCAAAATGGACTGAGATCTTTGGGATATAAAGATATGTTTTAAGTTTCATCAAAATTGGATAAAAATTGTGACCTCTAGAAGGTCCACAACCTTCATATTACACACTTCCACACAATTTGCGTACAAAGAGAGGCCATTTTGTCGAGTAGTTTAATTTGGACTCTTCCGAAATTCAAATTCAACCTTCAATATGGTGGAATGGTGATGTATTTAAACGGTTTTTAAAATCGGAAAAAAATTGTGACCTCTAAAGAATCTGCAAGCTAAAAATGCGATTTTTCGAACAATCAGGGGGCCATAATCCAGAAAGTTAAGTTCGGGTATCCGCAATTATCAAAAGGAACCAAGATCTTAGTGTGTTATGGTGATACATTTACACATTTTTTGAAATCGGATAAAAATTGTGACCTCTATAGGCACCAAAAGCTAAAAACGCGATTCTTTTGTTCAATCAAGGGTCATAATTCAGGAAGTTACAATCCAATACGTGCAAATATTGACAGAAACCAATATCTTTGGGTTATAAACATGTATTTCAAGTTTCATCCATATCGGATCAAAATTGTGACCTCTAGAGGATCCACAACATTAATTTACCAGATGTTTACACTATTTGCGTATGAGGGGTGTCCATTTTGTCTGGCAGTTTCGGCCTGATTTTCACGAAATTCAAATTCAACAAACATAACGGTGATATATTCAAACATTTTTTTAAATCAGATAATAATTGTGAACTCTAGAGAGATCACAAGCTACAATCAGGGGCCATATTTCAGGAAGTTACGATTCGATATGTAGGAAAATCGAAAGGAACCAAGATATTTGGGTTATAAACATGCATTTCAAGTTTCATCAAAATCAGATGAAAATTATGACATCCAGAAGGTCCACAACCCTGACACTATTTGCGAACAAGGGGCGGCCATTTTGTCAGTCAGTTTCGGTCCTATTTTTACGAAATTCGAACTCAACCATCCTTAGGGTGTAACGGTGATATATTCATACATTTTTTTTAAATCAGATAAAAATTGTGACCTCTATAGGGTCCACAAGCTAAAAACATGATTTTTCGTACACTCAGGGCCCGTAACTCAAGAAATTATAGTCGGATATGAGCGAATATTGAAAGGAACTGAGATCCGTGGGTTATAAACATACATTTCAAGTTTAAACCGAATCGGATAAAAATTGTGACTTCTACAGTGTTCACAAGCTAAAAACATGACTTTTCGTACAATCAGGGCCCATAATCCATGAAGTTACAGTCCGATACATGCCAACATCGAAAGGAACCGAGATCTTAGGATGATAAACCTATATTTCACGTTTCATTGTAAAGGGTAGAGTGTTCACAAACAATTGTGGGCAGACGGGGGCGACGACAATATACATCCACATGACAATGTGGGCTTATAAAAATGACGTTAATATTAGAATATTTTGGGCCCTGCAAAATTCAAGATGGGGGAATTTACAAGACAATTTCATACAGATCAGATTATAATTTTTGTCGTTTGAGGGTTTACAAGGTTCTACAAACAGAAACAAGAGCCTGAACTCGGGAAGTAATTTACAGAAACTTTTGAAATTTGACAGGCTTTTTCGTTTTACTAATTTAAAAATAATGCATTTACATTTCATACAGATCGGATGATAACTTTTATCATTCGAACGTTCACAAAGTAAAACAAGGGCCATTACTCTAGAAATAATTGACTGAAATTGCAGAAATTCAATAGACCTCTGTTTCTCAAATTTAAATGATGCATATAAATTTCAAACATATCGGATGATAACTTTAATTAATGGAGCATTAACAAGGTTGAACAAAGTGAAACAAGGGCCATAACACTAGAAGTAATTAAAGGAAATTGCTGAAATTCAAAAGGTTTCTTCGTTCTACTAATTTAAATAATGCATAAAAATTTCACAAAGATCGGACGATAACTTTTGCCTTTAGAGCATTCACATGGTTCAATAAAGGGAAACAAGATCCATAACTCTAGATGTAATTACTAATCTAAATGACGCATATAAATTTCATACAGATCAGCAGAAAGACTTTTGATGTTAGAGCATTCACAAGGTGCAAAAATGTGAAATTATTGAAATTAAATAGGCTTCTTCATCTCACTAAGGTAAACATATATCAATTTTAAACCAATCGAATGATAACTTTTGGCATAAGTAAAGTGTCCACAAGAAATTGTGGACGACAGATGGACAAACCGGAGGACCCGGAGAAAACCCACGAGGTTGGACAGGCGACCCTACTCCTTGTCTCGTACAACCAGGGAATCGAAACCACGCCAGTTGACTCAATGACAGACTTTAAGATACAGCGCGCGCACGCTAACCATTCAGCCATCCAACCCCCCGAGTGACGTAAGAGATGACAGATGTTGTAAATTTCCCTATAGAAGGCTATTGCAATTGAGCACTGCATCCCGTCATTTTGACTAACTAGAAGCATAAACATGGCCAACTGCGATGCTTGGGGATGTACTAATAGCACCAACAATAAACTAGATCTGCCACTTCCAGTCACATGTCATAGGTTATATAAAGAATCTTAACAAGAAAAATTAATTATTAAAATCGCTCAAAAACTTGCGAAGTTATAAGCTTAAATATAGCGAGAAAATAATCTGAAAAATAAAAGTTTCAGAAAGATCCTATGGTCAGATTCTGAGATATAAGATTTGCAGGAGAAAAACAAAAAAACAAAACAAATAATAATAATAATCTAAGCAAAAACAATAAACCCTTGTTTTTCAGTTGTTGCACAAAGAAAGTAGGCTAGGGCATATAATACCATATTACCCTATGACTATGACTAGGGTAGACTTATTGGAAATAATAGTCTTTCTTTGATATATTTTCACCGACAAAGTCTGAACATCAATAAATAAAGCGAAAAGTTATCAAGAATCAAAGGACTGTGATAAGAAGAAAAGGTACTCTTAACTCTGATCTAATCCAAACACAGCCTGCAACGATTTGTGCTCGCATTTCTAATTGGCTTGTACTGATAGGGAAGAACATTCGGGGCAAAATCAATGCCTGACAAGCTGTCAATTTCTGCCGATGCCATATTGAAATATACATCGACTGCTACACGAGTGTCACCTCTTACGTCATGTCACATGAGTTAGCTTTACCTCATTAATTGTTGGGTGTTTCCATAACTTCGGAAATCTGAAAGTGTTTTTTAACGTAATTTGTTACTAAAACTTTTTTTTAAAAAAAAAAAAAATTCTGAAATGCGTTACACAATGAACTAAGTAAATGATAAAATTAAACTTTTATTGTAGCATTCTCCTTTAAATATGCATTAATAATAAAATAGCTCAGAGATGCAAACATAGAGATAGATATGTGTTAAAGAGTCAGATAAAAAATGCCATCATTTGTTACTGTCTCGTCATCACTATTTCTGAATTATAGGATTTGTTAATGACACCTGTGTTCTTCATAAGGAAACATTCGTGAATATGTTACCCAATTCAGGACTTGTTAAAGCGAATACAGGTATAACTTAGGTGTAAGAAAGTTTACAGATTATATATACCTTGTAATATCATAAACTAATAAGGCACCAGCAGCTCCTCTATAATAACTTCTAGTTACTGATCTATAAAATGTGAAAATAAATATTACAATTTCAAGTTAAATGTAGAAGGGCAAACAAAGTGTCTAACTCTGATGATAATGAATGCATTCTTTCAATACTGTGGAAGATGGCATTGTTACCTCAAGATCAATCAAGTTACATTTTATTGAATAATAATATCACTGTTTAAACTAAATGCCATTGTTTAAAACCACTGTTTAAAACTACTGATAAAATACAGTTTTATTTACAATAAATGTAAAATTTGATACATCATAAAACGTGTATAAAAGCACAAAAACAAACTGTTAAAAATCAGAAATTGGTTCGTTAACATAGGCATATCAATACTATGGTTGTAACTAGACCAGGCTAAACTGTCACATTTACTCTTTTTAATGCCTGCGGATACTAAGATAGGTTGCCAGGCAAAGAAACATACGCCCACAGTAGCTAAAACGTTCAAGCGCATCGGTCAACAAGTGTTGTCGCATATCTATTCTTTTGTAGGTAATAGGGGCTTTTACAAGACAATTTCATACAGATAAGATTATAATTTTCATCGTGTAAGGGTTTACAAAGTTCTACAAAATGAAACAAGGGCCATAACTCTAGAAGTAATTAACAGAAATTGCTGAAATTCAATAGGTTTGAACTTCGTTTCACTAATTTAAATGCTGCATATAAATGTCATACAGATCGGATCACAATTTTTGTCGCTTAAGCGTTCACAAGGTTCAACAAAGTGAAACAAGGGCCATAACTCTAGAAATTATAAAATTTCATACAGATCGGATGATAATTTTTTCACTAAAGCATTCACAAGGTTCAACAAAGTGAAACAAGGGCCATAACTCTAGAAGTAATTAACAGAAATTGCTGAAATGCAATAGGCTTCTTTGTTTCACTAATTTAAATGATGCATTATAAGTTTCATACAGACCAGATGTTAACTTTTGTCGTTCACAAGGTCCAACAAAGTGAAAGAAGGTGCATAACTCTAGACGTAGTAAACGGAAATTGCTGAAAGTCAATAGTCTTCTTCTTTTCACTAATTCAAATGATGCAAATAAATTTCATACAGATCGGATGATAATTTTTATCATTTGAGCGTTCACAAGGTCCAACAAAGTGAAACAAGGTGCATAACTCTAGACCTAGTAAACAGAAATTTCTGAAAGTCAATGGGCTTCTTCGTTTCACTTATTTAAATGATGCATATAAATTTCATACAGATCACACAACAACTTTTGTCGCTAATAGTGAAACAAGGGCCATAACTCGTGAAGTAATTAACAGAAATTGCTGAAATTCAATAGGATTCTTTGTTTCACTAATTAAAATGATGCATATAAGTTTCATACAGATTGGATGATAACTTTTGTCGTTTGAGCATTCACAGGTCCAACAAAGTGAAACAAGGTGCATAATTCTAGACGTAGTAAACGGAAATTGCTGAAAGTCAATAGGAGTCTTCGTTTCACTAATCTAAATAATGCATATTAATTTCATACAGATTGGATGATAACTTTTGTCGTTTGAGCGTTTACAAGGCTCAAAAGGGGAAACAAGGGCCATAACTTTGGATGTAATTGACAAAAATGCTGAAATTCCTTAGGATTCTTCTTTTTACTAACATAAATGACTCCAGAAGAAATTAACGGAAATTATTGAAATTAAATAGGCTTCTTCATCACACTAATGTAAACAACATATATCAATTTCAAAACAATCAGATGATAAATGTTGTCTGTAGAGTTTTCACAAGAAATTGTGGACAACGGAAAGACGGACGGGAGCGTCGGCAATATTCAACCACATTTCCATGTGGGCGTATAAAAACTGTTTTACCATTTTTACATTAAATTTTTTCTTCATATCTACCTTAAAATGAATCAAAAGTTCAAAAACTGTTTCAGAAATATATCTACAGAGAAATCAGCACTAATTTAGAAGTTACCAATCAGTAATGTTTATAAACCTAGATACATGTGTTGTATATATGTTGTGTAACCAGTTCTATCAACATTACCTAAATCTCTCTTGTCCAGCTGTATCCCAGATCTGTAATTTAACGGCTTTACCTCCAACATTAACAACTTTACTACCAAATTCTACACCAATAGTATGATTAGAATCCTGTTTAACTGTATGAGAAACCAAAACACAATCTCTATAGTTATGAGTGCAATAACAGGAGCAGGTTGGGGGGGGGGGGGATTTTTTACCATGACAGTGATGTTTTCGCCTACCTTTTCTTCAAATTCCAACTCCCAAAGGTGTTTTATGTGCATTATGTACATGTGTAGACCTCAGTTTTCCATAAGTAACTAAGGACACTTTCTTTGTTAACCCACAGGCACCATCCCTGACATGTAAGAACTGGGCTTGTAAAATACTAACAGTTATTCTCACCTCACACCAGGATTCGAGAGAGAAATAGGATTTAACGTCCACTCGATACATATGGTCCAATTTTATTTCATGATTTGCCTGCGCGTTGGGGTCTTTAGTAGTGGGAGGAAACCAGAGGACCCAGAGAAAATCGACGAGGTTGGACAGGCGACAATACTCCTTGTCACGTCACGTATAGTGGCAGTTTTCACTATAATAGTTAAAAACTAGATAATGTAAAGGGTATTTGCTGAAAATTTCAGTAAAATTGATCCACTCTGAACCAAGAATTTAGCAATTGAATTTTCAGCCTAGTCTGGATCATCATAAAGTCGGTACGATAAAAAACATAGTCTCGATTATCCATTTCATGATTTAATCTTGAATGAAAGTTGAGCAGCAAATCGGATCCAAATCCAGTAAATATTGCAGGCTAGCGATGACATCGAGAGTTGATTAGGGTCTGGATAAGTTAATTAATGTCTAATTAATAATTTAGATAACATTTCAGGCCTAAAGAAAGACCTACAATAGGCAGATTTAGCTCTTGCATAATGTATGTTTAAGCAGATATAAAACTGTTATCTGGACTACTTCATATTAGGGCTGTACGATATTCTCGATATAGTTATTTATCGCGATATGGTATTTTCAGACCCAAGTACAATATCATGGTGTCCAAAAATCGTCGATATAGTGGTTTATCGAATATCGCCAAAAACTTCAAATATCAAAAAAAAAATATCATAAAAATAGATAATAAATACACTATACAGCAGTGGAAATTAGCCGACGACAATAAACTATATTAAAACTAATGTTTTGAGAATCGTTAAATGTTGAAAACACTTGCGCAGTGTCCGCAGCCGTTTTTCAGTGCATCGTGTATGCGTTACTTTTACTTTGTTTTTAGTCCACAATAAATTGTCAGTTGTTACTACATACATGTAAAGTTTAGGCCTACTAAACGCCTGAAATTTCCCACTACCGCGGCTAATTACCAGGCTTTAAATAGGTTGTCATATTTTTAAAAAACGAATATTTTTAGAAAACTCTACAAAACTTAATTTCTGAAAGCAAGAATAAATCGATCTATAAATAGATTACTGTCACTGTTAGGCCACAAATACCGAAGCCAATCGAATACATGAATGGAAGATAGTCCAGATCATTTAGTATTTGTTAAACTGTTTGAACTTACAATACAAGACGAGAAGACCGCACCTACGTACTTCCGCTGCAGGTGATATTTGAGAATTTTCTTACACAAGGTCACAAGCAGACGCTTTTTAAAGCGGTTGTATTTAATTTTTATCCAAAAAGGATGTTGTTTTGTTCATTTTGATAAATCTATATAAAAAAGCAAAGTTTAAAGTGTATGAATAAAGCAATTCTTACCCACAAGTCTTACTCACACTGTAGTCAGCTTTAATGCATTTATATTTAATTTATTTAATAGCAAAGTGACATTATTATTAAATATCGCGATATTTAACTATATTGTTGAAAAAAATGCCAATATCAATATCGTCCCTTTTTGCAATATCGTACAGCCCTACTTCATATTATGAAAATTATTCAAGGCTACTTACATTTATTTTCTATAAATTGGTGTAAAATACAGGATTTACCAGCACCTGCACTTCCTATCACCAAAAACTTAAATAAAAAATCTGAAAACAAAGAACAGGTATATGATAATGGTATAAACTTTTTGCAAAAATTTGTTTAGTTAACAATGAATGAAGGTTTAAGTTGATATAATAATGCTGATTAGAAACTATGATAGTGTAACATTATACTATAATAACATGTTTGGAATGACTGCAAATTTTTTTATAAAACATAATATTCTAAAGTTAAAGAAATAATCTTTATTTTGTTTGCTTAGTTGGGGTCAGCTAATAAGAGAACAACTCATTCCACAGGAAAAATATTACAGCAAAACAAAAGCACTGACTCATTGAATATAATCCTACAGGGAAGAACAATTCCAAAAGTATACAATCAAGAATAAAAGCAACATACACAGTCAATATTCTTATTAATGGACTCAGTCTGATTTATAAGTTTCTTCACACTATTAAGTTCTAACTTCAGACTATATCATGTTTTCTTTCATTAAGCTATAATATCGCAACACGTCATTTGAGTAGTCTATATCATCCAGAAAAATATTCTACGAATAATAGGTCATTGGCTAGTTTATCCAATCTTTTACATTATCATAAACAAAGTCTAAGGGAGGTAACTAGTCCTAAAACAAGATGTTGACGCCCGTGAAATTAATTTCAGGGGAATAATATCCTCTACTTTTCTGCACCCACTGGGTTAATGAAGAAGGGCATATATGCCAAGCAGTGTGCTATCTGAGGCATCTTCCCCAAACAGCAGTGCTATGGCCTACTCTTTTTTGGGAATTCCAAATGTCAAGGGTACTTTTACGTTCATGCCAATGCTGTCAATTGCTAAACCCTCCAGCCAGCACTACTGACAAGGGGGGAACCACGCCATGATAAACTTTCTCAGCCAACACAGGGATCAAACACAGGACCTCCAGGTTAGTGAACCAACATCCAGTTTTGAAAAATAAAGATTGTCCGATTTGAAGTTTTAGAACACATGCAAAATTGTGATTTGTGATCCATGATGCATGTGGTAAACAGATAGTTTAATGACCAGGGGAGTAGGACTAAAATTACTACATGCATATAGGCACAGTTTCCAACCTGCTAATCGAAACTACCACCTACCACTGTAGTACCAGAGGAAAAGAAAGAAAAACAAAACAACCAATGACAGAGAAACCAAACAATTAAATGGACCAAGCCTAATCACCAATAAATCTGTTTAACCTATTACAAACAAAGCACCCCTGTCCACTATTTGCTAGAGCCATTATAAACCAGCGACCGCAAGTCAGGATACACCCACATTTTTCAAGAGATGGATAGAGAACAAGCTAAACAAAAAGCGATTTTTTGTACAATCAGGGGGCCATAATTCAGGAAGTTATGATCCGATATGCACAAATATCGACAGCAACCACGATCTTTGAGTTATAAACATGTATTTCAATTTTCATCAAAATCGGATCAAAACTGTGAGCTGTAGAGGGTCAACAACCTTGATATACCATATTTTTATGGTGTAACAGTGATATATTCAAACGTTTTTTTAAATCGGAATAAAATTGTGACCTCCATAGAGTTCACAAGCTAAAAAACACTATTTTTCGTACAATCAGGGGCCATAATTCAGGAAGTTACGGTCCGATATGCGCGAATATCGAAAGGAACCAAGATCTTTGGGTTATAAACTTACATTTCAAATTTTAAAAAAATCAACAATATACGTCCACATGAAAATGTGGGCGTATAAAAACAACTAAACGCCCATCAAAGCCAGCTGTCAGCAATATCACACACACACACACCCACCCCAGTGGAAGCAGATGTTACGCCCCACAAACCAACAAACCCAGCCTACTAGTCTGCTCCAGAGATTATGTTTACTACAACATTGCACATAACATATCCAAGCAACTAGCTCCACAAACACACACACATCTTTCTTCATCAAAGACTCTGGAGATTTCTGTGAAAAACTCAACAGCATCAAGACCAGAAAACCTACTTACCTTTAGTCAATGAATCAATGAGCTAGAAACCCCAATATACATAAAACTCCACATGATATGCTGACTGAAAGTGAATGACATTTAAATTTTGATGCTCGAAAATAATGATGATGCCACCAATCTTCTCCAGTACTTAAATAAGCTGCACCCAAGAATCCAATTCACGGGAAGGGATGTGTACAAAATATCCTACTCATGCAATAAAACGTACCTCGTAGGAGAAACCAAAAGACTTATAGTATACATAGAACACCATGACAGTACCAACGACTCGGCTGTAGCTGAACACCTAAGAAATATCCCTCAGCACAGAATCGGCTGGTCATCTGTAAAAACCTTTCACATCAGTCAACGCCACCAGAAGATTAGGGGAATAATGGAAGCCATCCAGATTAAAACCTGCACAAAGCCAAAGCAGTAAGATCCAAATCCAAAGAGTGTACAGTTGGTTATCCCGCTGTATAATTGTATAAACATTCAATAACTACACAATAGCTTTCACAAATGTAGGCCAGTAGCGGATTATCAGTGAGGCTGATGAGGCTGCAGCCTCAGGCCCAAAGATTTTGTAAATAATTTTTTTTTAGACTTGTCTGATACGATTAAAAACGCATAGACAATGAATGTTAGGGGGGTGGGGTTTAGGCCCAACGGGAATCAACATAGGCCCTGACCCAAAATTAATTAGGCCCACGCCATTTTAAATAGGCCCTATTGTTTGGAGATCTAATCTTATTTTTTAAACGTAGGCCTACAATGTACGTTAAATCCTTGTAAGTTTTCGGTTATGTCTTGCTTTATATATTGTATCCACGTGACGTCATTTATGGGCATATAAATAAAGTTACATTACGTTTTTAATGTTAGCAACTACCTTGGCTCTAACTTTAAAAACTAAATAGGTCCTCCAGCAACTGCCGCCTCAGGCCTTGGTGGAGCTTAATCCGCCACTGATGTAGGCTATAGGTCTAAACAAATTATAGTACAAACCAGTATGCCCAATATGGTTTGTCTTTGTAATTTTAACAATCTGTATCCCCTTTCATTTATAGTTATAGCAAGGGACGTGTTTTGATTTGCTGTTCCTTTAAATTCAGTATGGTAATAATTATACTCTATGAAGTTTTGGGTTTAATTGTCCTATTAATATTTGGTTGTACATGTATGTGACAAGGAGTAGGGTCGTCTGTTGTACATTTAAACCCCTCAATGTTCCCAAAACCGCCTAACCATTCGATCAAGAAATAACAAGCGCCCCTAAATAATGCTTGCAGACAATAAGCTGTCTGGTTGCCAGTAAGTGATATCCTGACATTTTTGCCCAGTGCTTGCCTCATTGGTGTTTTTCTAGGAATCCAGTATTTTTCTAGTAAGACTGGGTGTCTCTGCTTTCCATTTATACCAAATTTGCCATACTTTTATTGAAAATAACTATACCCGGTACCCTTTAAAGGAGGCAAGTCGTTAAGCCAATATCATCTACAGTCTTTGACATTGCAAACACGACAAGTTTTATTTCGTTTCGTCTTATATGGCCGGGTTACGTAAATTTGTGTGTTACTCTATATTAAGACTTCAATGGCTTCTGCCAAGCCGTTTAGCAGAAGGGGACATATTTTTAACAGCATGTTGTGTCAAACATACTTACTCTAGCGAGGTAAGCAAGGTCTTATTTTCTCACTAAAAGGTTCCTTTACATTGCTGAGGCGTTTACCAGTAAAATTGACTGGGAGCCAATACTTTTTCGACAAGGATTCAAAAGGGCGGTTCCCGAACGTATAGGGCGAGTGTAATGAGACCTATGTTCAGAGCTGAACTACCCCTGGACTAGATGAACAAGGCTAACCATACCCTGCAGGAGATACTACTGGTGTAGACTTGAATAACCAGACCAGACGCCAAAGACTGCCATATTCAATTAGGACTCTTCGTGTATTTCGCCGAACATAACTGGTTAGAAATTACAGTAAAAACAGAAACGATTGAATGTAAATCAATTTATAAATATATACATTCATAATAATAGGCTACATTACGACTCATTTGTGTCCATTTCTAGGTAGGCCTACCGATACCAAAGAACGGCGATTTAGCTCCTTTAAATACTTTTGTGAGAATGTATCTTTAAAACTAAATCTACTTCCATTTTAATTTAAAAGTTGTATTAGGCCTACCGTATTACATTTAATAAGTCTTCATTATTAGAGTAGACTAGCCTACAGCTGGTTTAAAATAAAGCCAAAGGGTCGCACTTAACCTGAGACAGACACAAAAACAAAATACCTTATTATTGATTTATATTCAACACAGAGATTAAAATAGAACCATGCAACCATAATTTGGGGGATATTAATAAATCTGGCAAAACGTCAGTAAGAGAGAGTAGGTACTAGGTGACGTGCAGAGAAAATAGAAAATGACATGACTGGGCCGTGGGGGAAGACAATCAGAAAATGTAAACAACATTTTTACTCCATTCTAAAAAATACTCACAACATTGACATCGACACATTTACAGAGAGCTACATTAGTATTTATTAATCTCTCATCATACCTTTCCCCGAGACAGAAGCAACATGTTTCTGCTTACCGTAAGATTCTGACATTTTTTGATGTTTTGGATGTAATCGCTTTTCTTCGATGACCACTTCCTTCAAAATGGACGGCTTTTATTGACCCGATTATCCAGTCTCCTATACTACGCTATAATAATGTCGACCTTCTTTGAACACGGAAAGAACGCCAATTGCATGACATTACAATAAAATTGTTTTTTGGTCGTCATTGCCACCTATTACGTAGATGGAATCTTTGTAAAGCCAGAATAACTTAGAAAAACTTAGAAACCCATATAAAATTTATGTGAAAAAAAGCCTGCCGAGCCTACCGAGGCAAAAACTTTTTGTTATAATTACATATATAGGCCTATACTATAATATCCTTAAATTTAAATGACATTCAGAAGTAGAGGTACATGTATAATTAATATTCATAATAACACAACTTTATGGATTTACTACTTCTTGGTTTATTACATGCAACGTTTCAATACTTTTACATGTATCTTTATCAAGCAATCAATAATTAATGTTGTTGTTTATTACAGATTTAATGTTAAATATGATTATGGACAGGTTGATTTAATTAAATTATTTACACTTAATGGGTTGAAAATTGGTAAAAACATACAATACAAACGTCCGTGTATATCAAAATTTTGTCTCCTTAAAATTGGTTAACACAAAATAAAAAGTCCTTGAATATTAAAAAGTCAATTTAAAGCACACTTATAAAATCGCTGTCGTGAGAAGAGAGGGCGGGTCATCTTCTCCCTTTGTCATAATAAAAACATGTTACTGGAGGTCCAGCTGACTGATGTTTGGCGCCATCAGTGCGGATAGAAAAAAAAACGTGGGGAAAAAGAATCCGCTTGCGTTATGTGAAAAAGCGAAGTGTTCGCAGTAAAAACCACATTATAGCGAAAACAGAACGGAAAAGAACGAACCTGGGAAGTATGTAGCGGGGATGTTAAATGGATGTTCATCGGGAGCCTAGCGGATGGAAGTGGATGACAGCTCCGGCAAACTCCAGACATCCTTCAATATATCAGATACATCCCAGATACAAACGCTTTGTCCGTTTTGAAAACTTTATATACGAGATGCATACGCTTACATCCTTTCTATTTCCGTGCTACTATTATAACGATGTATAGACGTTCCATGTAGCCTACCTTATCTTTCCTCACTGTTTCCGTTTTTAGCTGGAGCAGATGTGAGTTGCGAGGATGCCCAGAGGATGCAGAGAGGATACAGTGGACGTTTAACGGATGATAACGGACATGGAACGTTTGGTGCTCGTATAATATGGCGCGCATTTACATCGTACACGGCAGAAAGTTCATCCGATATGAAAGTTTTGTGCAGCTCAAAACTTTTTGTGCGGATGAAATCAAAGTGAACGGATGCTCGATGGATAGAGCGTATGAAACACGTATGCAATGGCGTTTTCAAACGGAGGGCACGATTTTTTCCCCGTTTTACATCTTCTTTGCATCCGTAATTTTATCAGGGACCGGGCCTTTAGGGTTTTTCTTGCGTCTTGCGTATGACTCTCCCCAGATAAACGTTACCTGAAAAGAAAATAAGAGCTAGCAGCAACACAGAACAAAGCAATTAAAACAAATTAAAACATTTATAGAAATAATACATGACATTTAATATTTAGACATAAATTAAATTTAATTGATTGATATGCACTGTCATTGTTAATAATGGTTTTGTAGGTCCCTATTCTTTTATTTTGCCATTATTTGTCCCTAGTTATATTATTATATTAAATCGGGGGGTTAGATGGCTGAATGATTAGCACGTGAACGCTGCATCATAAAAGTCTGTCATTGAGTCAACTGACGGGGTTTCGATTCTCCGGTTGTACGTGACAAGGAGTAGGGTCGCCTGTCCAACCTCGTGGGTTTTCTCCGGTTTCATCCCAAGGCTAAAGATCCCTACGCGCAAGCGAATTATGGAAATAAAATTGAACCATATTATGTTAGTCCAGAAATGACCTAGTTTGTGTCGAGTGGACGTTAAACCCCATCTCTCTCTCTCTCTCTCTCCCTCTCTTATATTAAATCATGCAGTAGGCTGAACCACCATACTGTCTTACAACAATAGTTCCTGCCTTTGTAACTAGATATGTAGTTCCCTATCTTAAGGTTAATTTATTCTGATATTAGTAAAGCATCCAGGTGGCTTAGGGACCAACCTAGTCTACACAACCAGTTATCTTTCCTTGACAAGTGCTCTTTTAACGCAACTAACTTAACAGTTAATTCCCGATTTTGCTATGAATTTTGAGATAGCTTCATAAATTTTATATGACATATTCCGAAGAGGGAGGGGAGTACATTTTGGAGGGTATATTAATTAATAAAAACCTTACATAAAAATATATTTATATAGGCACCTTTAAATCGGTATTATATATAGAGGATATTTGTCGTTTTAGAGTGAATAACATATTTTATTTCATCGAGAAGCAAGAAAACTTATATTTTCACGAATGCGTAGCATGAGTGAAAATATAAACGTTTTCTTGCTTAGAGATGAAATAAAATATGTTATTCACGACAAAACGACAAATGTTCTATTTATTTTATGATTTTACAATCATTTTAGGTAAAAACAACATGGACTACTGCTAGCCAGTGGAATAACACTTTTATTTCACTGATAAAACGCGGTATTCCACTACTGATCATAAAATAAAATGTCGTTATCCGTGCCCCGTTTTGAAGAAAATCCAGTTCAATAACACAATTCTATCATTTATGAAAGTTTTAATTGAGTGTTGCTGGTAATACCGTTTTATTTCAGGGGTATGCGTTTTGGGAAGGGGTGCAAGTTTACACCTTTTAATCATATACGAATTTGTTTTAATTTCGAATGACTTTTTTGGAGTTACTTTATTCGATATTGATAGTAGCCATATAGGCTACTAATTTTACCCTTTTTTTAAAATTGAACACCACGAATTTGTACTGAATTGACTATGGATTAAAACATATTGTCTGGAGCCACTCTGTTTTGTGCGACATTTTCCGGGCATCGATTATTATTTGCGAATGCAGCTGCAACATTCTGATTGGATGATTGGAATTCAGGTCGGCATAGAATGGGATTTCGGTTGACAATATTGGACAACCGTTAGTGCTAAATGATAAGGCCAATGATGAAGCTCACATTTTCGTCATAGGTCACGTACGAAATGTAAACGGACTAGCGCTAATCCCAACTCTAACTCTGGACCTAGCCCCAATGCTTACCCTAACCTATAAACTCACCAACAATCACGTGCCCTAACCTTATTTACATCTCAACGACCCTGACGAAAATTGACTGGCCCGAACAAATAGATTTAGTCATTGGACAACAATGAATCTGATTAACACACGGTCTAGGATGCCAGAAGAACCAGAGGCGTGCTGGGGCATTCGAAGTGGGCAGGAAGATGAAACTTAGATAAGGGCACTAATTAAAAACGGGGGGGGGGGGTCGGGAATGTTTTGGTGGCACATGCTAGTGGATTTAACGTATCCTAGCTATGACATACCAGTACACTTCGTGCGGAAGTATGAAAATAGTCCTTGAGGGCGTTTTTTTCCGCTCAAAAATCGCGGTGTTTTACCCATATACACTCAGCGGAATTAGAGACGTTCTGGGCGGAAAAAAGTCCGCGAAAATATAAAATTAGCGGTGGATTATCGCCCGCGAAAATATGAAATTCGCGGCGGATTATAGTCGGTGGAAATATCAAATTCGCGGCGGATTATAGTCCATAGTGATTTGAAATAGTCAGAGTAATTTAGTCCATATTGCCACAACGTTATTAGAAAGAAACAAATATTTAATGGAATGATATCACGAGTATATTAGTCGTTTTAGTTCACCGGTAATTCATAATTGATTATTAACTAAAGTGTACCAATGTATTATTGTATTCATATCCTAAAATGTCCGTTATGTTCTATTCATTTATAATGTACATCTACATCGGTATTTAATTCGTGAATCACACACACATAGCAATTTTCTATGTCATTAGTTGAGCAGACAATGAAACCATGTTTCGTGAATTCTGATAACAATGTCTGAAAATGGACGACAATAAACATATATATATATAGAAGGTAGCGATTTGCACGTGGATATGTCTTAAAATATGCTGTTTTTTTATATACTGATTTATTATCCGTTTTAATTATGAACAACAATTTAACGATATTCGTAGAAATAAACGAATTAGCATAAATTGCTAGGAAGGAATATTTTCTCCTTTAACGGTAATTCAATTAAAATGACGATTCGGCTCCCAACGTTCAATATATACATGTACTTTATGTCCCCAAAATTAAAAGTCATATTGGATAGAAGCTGGAAGATTGTTTACTTATTTCAGTTTCGTATTTGACTTTACAGATTCCCCATTCCAAAACAGATCAACACGTCAAATCGTTTCAGTTACAGGTAAAAGGCTTAAAAATATCATGTCTTATTTAGCCCCTTCAAATATTTCTTTTTATACTTTAACTTATAAATGCAACACACAAACTGCTTACCGTATTTATACAGTTGACGATAAATATCCTAAATAATAATCCGGTTCGGTTTCTTACCAATAATTATCAATGAACATATCGAAGAACCTTTAATAAAACACCTAACAACCAGATCTTATGAATGGGATCTTGTCCGGACAGAATTTAGATTAATAGTAACTGATCAAAGAGTGAACATCAAACAGAACAAAGGAAATTGCCTAACAAAAAAGCATGCGTTAGTTATAAGGGATGATTTGTGTGCCAAATTAAAAATATTATCACCGAGAGGGGTTCACTAGTCCGCCGCTATAAGAAATACTATAATGTGGGTATCAATAAACCTAACCCTAACTCAACCCTAATGATAGATATCGGTGGACTAATGAACCCTAACCCAACCCTAACCCTAAAGAAAGATATCGGAACCCTAACCCTAACCTAACCCTAATTCATCGTAGCCTGTTCGTAATTTAGCCGTGACAACCGCACCTATTTAGTGTGAAAATCCAGTTTGTTCGCGTCCCAATTGTTATTATTCTTTTTTAATGAGGTCAACTATTTTGGGTAATGATTACTTACTGACAATATA